GTGCAATGCAAAGGTTCCACTGATGTTAAAGATCCTTCATGGAACCATAGATGCCATTATAAGAACCATTATTTTTAAGAATGTACAACCACAAACCAAAAGCAGAAAATTGAACATCACGACAAACAAGGGGAAAAAACAACAGTATATCTGGACTATTGAAAAACAATATGACCCAATTGATTGTGGCAATGTGGACTGTATATCTGCACCACACATCAACAGAACAAAACGCATCTATCTATGCGAGACAACAATCACATGCACTCCTTGTCCAAGTGACCTCTTGAAATGGACAAAGGTGACGTATTGTTTAAAGGGTGCATGATCAATGTTCTGCTGGTCAGCTTATGTAATGCACAGTTACTCTCAATAGGGCAAGAAGCACATCTGTCTGTCAAAGTAGAGGTGACTCAGTTAAAACCTAGACTCATTCGTTCCCTACTGTCATTGATTCTACCATCAACACCCTTCCAATACATCCAGGGCCTAATCTATTATGTGGAGGAGCCACACTCCTGTGATTTCACTATTTATGTCTGCATTGGGTCTGTTTTTTCCAGGTTTTATGACTCTGTTTTGGTCAGGCATGGAGCTGATCACATGATTTCATAAGAACTTGCTGGTCAATAAATTCAGATTTATTGCTCAGATCCGATTTTTTTTTTGCGGTAGTAGTTGGTGGTACTTGACTCTGATAAGCGTATCCATAGCAGACTGGTGGGAGTTGCCTTGGATGGCTTGGATGCCCAGTGCATTATGGGTGTTGCAGGTTTCCTACATTTGGCAAAAGGGAAGACAACAGTTTTCTCTGGTCAGGTAGCACCAGAACTTTCTACTAAATTCAACTTTTTATTGTTATTTCATGTTAGCTCAGGTCCATTAAATAAAATCAACAGACAACTTTTGATTTAAATAATTAGTAAATGTTAACAACCTTATTGTAAAATATTTAGTGGAATGTTCTGATTGCAAAGTGTGCTTATGCTTTATCTTTTTTAAAATAAATTACAATTGGCTTAATTTTTTGCATTAAGATTTTTTTTAGATCACTGTATTGTGGATGGAGAGTTTGTCATTTCTCCTCTTCTGTAAGCGAGAAGGCTGCATTAATGTCCATACCCCTACAAGCATGTGAAACAGGACACTGGCCCCGTGAGTACTGCTTTTCTGGGTCAGGAAGACAGGAGCCATGGCGAGAGTAGTCAATTGTATATGTGTGTCTGTATACACACTTGTGCGACTCCACACAGTGAATTTTAAGCCCTTTGAGACCCTAGTCTGAATCTCCAGCTCGGACCACACACACACACACACACCTCAATGACCTCCAACCAATGCTTGCCGAGTAAGCAAAGACCGTCACCGCGGTAATCAGAATACACTTCCAAAACCCTCATCCCCTCATGTACACAATACAAAGGAAAAGGAAAGAAAAACATGGGAATGTGACCTCTTGCGACCTTCTGTGTGAAAACACCCCTCTTAAGCAGCTGATATAAATGTATGAGCAGAGAAATAAAAAAAAAGACTTGAATAAAAAGGTGGATAAAAAATTTAACAGACCTCCTCTTCTCTCATCCCATCCGAAATGAATGTGCAGATAAAGGGCTACACTTTTTGTTCTGCCTCTCTGCATGTCAATGTCTAATTTTGACCTTCAAATGCACTCTCTTTTCAAGTGCCCTTCTGACAGTATTGCAGCGTATCAGACAGCTGATGCTTTCAAAACAGGAAGGCACTGATATAAAGTGCCACTCTTCTGTACAATTTTAATGAAATTTAGAGGAGAAAAATACACTATGTAATGTGTCACTATGCACCAAAAAGCAATTGTTAATAACGGATGAATCCTTCCAATCATATAATTCTTGAAAGAAAATGTTGAACATTTCCTCTAGCTTTAAGACTTAATCAGATTATGTTTTCTTATTTCTTCTTTTCATCAAATCGTTATGACATGAAACTTGTGATTAAAAAATATAAAACGATATTACTCATCATTGCCAACTTGATCCCAACATCATGTTAGGCTCGACCCCATTAAATCCTAATGGACAAAATCATGTCCAGCTGTGCAGTATTTTTTTTTCAAATGAATATTGTTTCACTTGGAAACACGTCATATTATATAAATCAAATGCATTGTTTCATGTTATCTTTAAGCACAGGACTTCTTGCAACGCTAATGAAATTGTCTTGTGTGCTAAAAGGAATGTTCCGGGATCAATACAAGTTAATCTGAAAAATATGTGAAAGTCAATATTTTTAATTTCATTGTTGATGTTGATTTCATTAGCATTGTATGGAAGTAAATGTTAAAATGCGCACCATTTTAAAAGTATCGTTATGCAATTTTTAACCATTAAACTAATGTCATCTCAGTTAAATTGATAACTTTATACTTGGGGGAAATTTTTTTTTTTCAACAAAAATGTATTTAACTTGTGCTGCACAAATATCTTGCCCCATAAATGTACACTTTATTGTGCATTATTGTAAAAAAGATAGATAGATAGATAGATAGATAGATAGATAGATAGATAGATAGATAGATAGATAGATAGATAGATAGATAGATAGATAGATAGATAGATAGATAGATAGATAGATAGATAGATAGATAGATAGATAGATAGATAGATAGATAGATAGATAGATAGATAGATAGATGCTGTTGGTACAGCTTAACTTGCATTAAACCCAGAAAATTCCTTAAAATTCATAAGAAGGTCTTTTTTGTTTAGAAGAAAAGAGCGAAATGAAGAGGACCATCTCTCCACATGAGCTCAGGAATAGCGGCTTATGTAACCCACACAATTCTAAATATACTGATGCAGGACTGGCCATGGAGGAGTGCAGTGAACTACATGATAAGATCCAGAACAACAAATACATGAACAGAGGTCGGGGGGCTCTTGCATCGCCTGGTTTTATAATGAGATGCTAATAGGCCAATAATTCGAAAAGTTGTAGGGAGAGCGCAGAGAGAGAATTTCTTAGAGATGCATGGTACTAAGAACTGTGATTGGAATAGCCATTCGCATAAATTTAATTGAAGTGAACAAGAGCTAAATCTGTTTCCACCGAGTCTGATGAAGTAGCTGATTTGCGCTGAATCTAAATTTAAATGGAAAAAAACCCCCCATGATATTAAATTAAATAATTATGCTGAGACTGTGTTTCAAAAATACCTAAACAGCATGTTTCAGGATCACTGGGATCTATGATGTCCCCAAAAAAGGGTCTAGAAAGGCAGTGCACTGGGTTTTGAAAGATAGACACCATTACGCAATATCTAAATGTAAAGAGATCATGCAGTGGTCAATGCCATTACGTTGTCTGCAGCCAATAACCTTGAGATATATGGGGGTGACTGACCATCACACACTCAACCCCTGGAGCTAAAAAATAAAAAAGAGAAAAGAATACAACAGGCAGGCTTTGGAAGGCTTATTTTAGCAAGTGGTCGGCAATGGAAACCATTAAAGATGCAGGAGCAAACAGAGCCTATATGACACTCTCCTGACTGGACCTCTCATCAGATATGGGCTGTTCATATCCACAACTTCACCCAAAATAGCAGCCTTCACGCCAGCAGCCATATCCCCCTGTAGCCCAAGACTGGTTGCCCACTGAAGCTAAGCAGGGTTGAGCCTGGTCAGTACCTGGATGGGAGACCTCCTTAGAAAACCAGGTTGCTCCTGGAAGAGGTGTTAGTGAGGCCAGCAGTGGCGCTCACACTGTGCTCTGTGTGGGTCCTAACGCCCCAGTAGAGTGATGGGTACATTATACTGTCAAAGAGCACCGTCCTTCGGATGAGACGTTAAACCGAGGTCCTGACTCTCCGTGGTCATTAAAAATCCCATGGCACTTCTCGTAAAGAGTAGGGGTGTAACCCCGGTGTCCTGGCCACATTACCTCCAATGGCCCTTGCCTAATAATCCCCTTCCATTGAATTGGCTCTATCACTCTCTCTCCTCTCTCCACCTATAGCTGGTGTGTTGTGAGCGCATTGGCGCAGTTGTACTGTGGCTACCGTCGCATCATCCAAGTGGATGCTGCACACTGGTGGTGGTTGAGGAGAGACCCCGACATGATTGTAAAGTGCTTTGGGTGTACAGTAGTACATATGAAACGTGCTATATAAATGCCTCATTCATTCATTCAAAGGCTCATGCTTTCAAAGACACCTGATGGCCCATGAGAGATGCATAAAGCAATAAATTATTGACCTTGTAGTCTGTATTTCAACAGTCCTGCCATCTCCAACTGGAGCTCTGCATTGATTTGCTCCAGAAAGCGTGCTGAAAAATTAAACTGTCAATCAAAGGAAAGAAAAATGTAGAGACGCAATCAGCAAAACAAAGGACTGTGACAGCTGCATTTGTATAATGATATGCAACATATCCTGTAGGTTATTTGTGGAGGCAATTTATTGAAAAACGGACATATTGTGCATCTTTCAGCCCCTGAGATGGCTCCATGTGGCAGCTGAATTTCTGAAATGTGAGTGGACAGTTCAGTTTGATGGCTGTGTGTCTGTAGACAGGGGAAAAAAGGCCAGTGCGGCCCATCTGCTGTGTGTGAGCACATCGTGTGTGACAGAGAAACATGCTGAGGGAGAGATATAGAGAGATAGAAAGAATACTGGCACTTGTTTCATCCTGTTGAAATGCTAGGCTAGACATCACATCAATTTTAAGTGCAAATACATGAATGCAAATGTAGACTCCACATAAACTCAATTCCATTCATTATTGCATTTGAAATGTGCTGGACCACAATTCATAAAACAACACAAGTGGATTTTCAGCATTGCTTGTTCTTTTGCTGGTTTTTGGTGTTGGAGAACTTTGAAATTGCTGCCTGCCAAGTGACAAACTACTCGTAGTAGTTTCCCCTTAAACTACATTGCATTTTCAGTGTCATGAAAAAACTCCAGTTAAGTATTGGCACATTTTGTACTTTGTTTCTCAAAGACATTGTGGTATTCTTACCTGAATTTCCATGCCCTGTTCCAGTAATCGTTTGGCTTGGTTCTCCACCTCCAGACGAGCTCGACTGATGAACAGCAGGTCATTTTCTATGACATCAATACCTGACAGATCAACACCTTGGGAAAGGTAGTCTGAAAGGAATGGGAAAAAAATAGTCACTATTATTTTTGTTTTTAAATTTTTTTTTCAAAGCAGTTTTTAGTGGTTAAAATAAGGGGAATCAACGAAAACTAAAATAATTCCATTTTATTGTACAGGCAAATGTTTTATAGGACAAATTTTTTTTTTCATAAACATGGACAGCCATATGTTTATGTGATAGATAACAGGAACGTGTCACATGGAGGATGAGCGTGTTTGCGCACCCCTAGGAACCCGTTAGCATGCAAACCGTCTTATTCACAATTGTCTGCACTAAGTAGGGTGTCTGGAAGCTACCCGAACCATCATCGCAGCAGGCTGTGGAAATTATGCTTGATTTAGTTTTTTTAGCGTGAAATATATCAAAACTGTTGGAAGCGATGAGAAAGGCTTCAGAAAGCACTCAAACTGTGCTAATGTTGGCAGCTTCCTACTTAGGGCTGATTAAACTCATCGAAAAGAGCAAAGCATTTATTTAGACGGCAGCATGCTCTGGAATAAATACATCAACTAGGGCTAGCAACTAGTATAATGTGGGATACAGGTGGAGGAGGCTTAATGTCCCAGATACACCTAAAAATATTCCACACGGGAGAACAGCTGTTATTCACAGCCGTTCAAGTGAAAAAGTATGTTTACGAGGTGTTTAATTCATAAAATGCAATTAAAAATAATTTAAAACTAAATTATTAAAATTATCCCATGATTGGAACCCCTAAAGGTTCTATATGAAGCACCTGACAGAACCCTTCAAGGTTCTATAAAGAACCTTTTCTTCTAAGGCCCCATCCACTCTACTGCGTTTTAGTTTAGAAACGGAGAATTAAAACGAATACGATCTCCGTCCACACCAGCGTTTTAGCTGCGTATTAGAATTGATCTCAGTCCACATTAAAACGACTGAAAACGTGGATCACGTGACCATTCACCAACACTGGGCATGAGCGTGCCGGTGTAAACAACTTCATTGATAAAATTATCCCACCATGCTCTGGGTTAACCCCAAACCGACGCTCCATGTACGGTCAACGCCGCCGCTGCACACGGGAATCGTCACAGATCGCTCAAATAATAGCTTGACTCCGGCACATGTAGGCAGTTTTAGCGTTGTAAATGTTGAAAAATGCAGAATTTACTTGTACAACAGCTGCTAGCAAAGATATACACCATGACTGATGACAGCACCCAATCATAGAGCCGAGCGGGAGCCTCTACTACGTCATCGTTTCTAAAGTCCTCTGTTTTGACCCGTCTACACTAAAACGCCCTCCGGAGAATCAAAACGAAAAACGGATTGGCAGCGTTTCTAAACTTCTCCGTTTTGGGTCTCCGTTTTTGCCGTTTTAGTGTGGACGGGAGGTGCAAATGTAGCAAAAGGTCTCCGTTTTTAAACGAAAACGCAGTAGTGTGGACGGGGCCTAAAAGTTTATAATAGAGCCTCTTTGAAGGTACACTATCAACATTGTACCCCATTGAATTGACAAAAACACACTTTAAAACATCATCATTTGTGCTGCACAGAAAAAATTAATCCATACGGGTCAATTAACCATTCGGAGAAGTACATTTTGAAATTGTAGTTGTGCACATCTCTAACAAATACACAATTGTTTTATGCAAGCACAAGCAGCATATTATGCACAAGAGCATCCACACTGTGAACTTTAAAGAGTTTAAGATTCTTGCAAGTAAATGAGAAGGGAAAGAAACAGCATCTCTAAACACAGGGTGCCATACTGAACAGGCCTCTGAACAGACAGCCTATGAGTCAGAGATGCTGACTGATACGGATACAGTGGCACCAAGCAGAACAATGTCACTACATAGATCCACTCATTAGCGCCTTCTGAGGGCACACACCATCTGACGACTCTGTGACTCAATTTGCAGACTGCTAACAAAGATATCATAAAGAACCCAGAGCTGTCTCATTAGAAGAGGTCAGATATCTTGCTGAGGAAATGACTCCATACTGTAACACCCAGATGCTTTGAAGCGACCTTGAGTTTGTGGTTTCAAATCTGGAGAGCTGTATGAAACAGGTGGCTTCTACACAGGAAAGCAGGGGGAGGTTTTGGCTCCTGTTCGTGCAGGTAGGCCCAAAGCCAGACTAAAATCAACGATCCCTGGCAGAAGTCTCTGTGTCGCAGCGCAGTTTCATTTCACCTCATTTTCACCCTCTCCTGCTTCACACTGCCAGAGCACAACAATGGATTACATTGTCCTAGAAGAAACCCACAATACTGTAGGGGGACTCTCAATTAGCATTCTATAATTGCACTTTTGATAACCAGAGCTGAAACTGTTGCATGCAGGTTGTAAAAGGACAAATGGATGCAGGGATTTAACATGACATGATGATTCTGTAACTCGGGCTATGTTCGGAATGGCATGCTACTAGGGCTGCACAATTAAATTAATTAAAAATGCAATGGGGCCTTTTGTGGTTATTAAACAGCAACAGGCTGAGATTTAATTAAATATAGCATGCACATGCTGCATTCTTCAAATAAGGGACATCACTCTACTCTGTAATCTACTACTCATACTTAAGCCTGGGACACACCAAGCCGATGTCACACTAGTGGCGACGAAAGCCGACTGTGTTTTTGCCTCTTGTCTCGGCCAAAAAGCTGCACTTGAACACACCAAAAGTACTACAGGCGATTGTCAACTAGCAATATCTGTCTATATTAGCAGGTATCAATAATAGTCTATTTTCGTCATTCAAAAAGAGAAACCGAAACTAGGGCTGCAGATATACAAACCGTAAACAAAGGAGTGCTTGCTTACGATTTTGAATATCAATAATGCCGATCACTTTATTTATTCCAGTCGGCTCATGTTATTATGAAAATATTTGTGCAGGTAAGATGACGTAAGATTTTAACAGCCTTCTGTCTGTACCGCCTTGACTTCTTTGATTGCTTTCATCACTTTCGCTTTTATTCCCGTGCACTAACTCGTTCACTAAACTGAACAGCCAATCAGATTTCTGCATCCAACATGCTAAATCGGCCCAGAAAAACCTGACTGCCTCCAACAACACAGAACACACCAGAAAAACGAAGCAGACCGATGCTCAAAAATGGCCCGACATTGCCCGACGGCCGACCATCATCTTGGTGTGTCCCGGCTTTTACACGAGTACGCTTAAAGTCGTTTTTACACAATAAAGGGTGCAAAATAACCCAATGTTTATTTCTGAGATAACAGTAACTGGACATCACTTGCTCCCATCATTTACCATCCCAGATGTATTAGACTTAATTTCTTCAGATGAACACAAAGATCAATCATTTCTGTGTATTAGACCCCCAAATTCAAAAACCCTTCAAAAACCACACAAAGTGAACACAACGGTAATCCATATGACCCCAATCAATTTCTTCAAAAGTGAAACGATAGGTGCGTGTAAGAAAAATACAAATATTTAAAACTTTAAATAGAAACAATCATTCCCGGTCAACTGTCATACACAAGTTCACAAGAGAGTTGTAAAGCACTACGTCCACACGTTGTGATGTGAAGTGTGATGTAAATGTGTTGTTAAAGGGATACTCCACTTTTTTTGGAAATAGACTTATTTTACAACTCCCCCAGCAGTCGCAGGCACTTAGTCCCGGTCACGTTGGAAGTTACCGAGCTGGGGACTATTTTCAGGCGCTGCGTCATATCATTACGCCTGCTGCACTCATGGTACGGCAGTAAAGTTTCTTGATTACTACGCAGGAATGAGGGTATAGTTCCTAGCCATATCAGCCTAGAAAATCGCAACTTTACATTTTCCGTCGGTCTTAGTGCACGATGTAACTACAGAAGAGTCAAGTTTTAAATAGGAAAAATATCGAAACACTTTGGTCATTTTTTTTTGAGAAATGCTAATGGTCTTGTCCACTTCAATGATGTATGCTAAGCTATGCTAAAAGTGGTACCGCCAGAACCGGAGATCGGCTGAATGGATTCAAAAACGGTAAAACTCAACAGTTTAACTCTGGGGAGTTGTAAAATAAGTCTATTTCCAAAAAAAGTGGAGTATCCCTTTAAGCTTGCGCAAGATGTGCCGGTCCGGTGTTTTTTCGCGTCACTTCTCGCTTAAGAAGCTTCAGTATTTTTTTCTCACTCACACCCATCGTTGTTTGTGTTAATCTGAAGAAAGGAAGTCATATACATTTGAGATGGCATGTGGGTCAGTAAAAAATTAGAATTTTTTTTTGGGGGGGGGGGGTGCAGTATCCCTTAAAAAACGCAAGGAATACAGTACATATGGTGCACTGTGCAGTAGGAATACATTAGTATTACATTTAGCACAGACAATGCTCCCCTCTCCCAAAATCAAATCATGCTGGGGTCATGAAGGTCAGAGGGCAGGTCGGGGGAGGGGCATAGATGCTTGTTCAATCACAGATCTTGACCCTTGACAGTTCTTGTAGTTTCGGAAAAGAAAAAGTCTGCTGTTGCAGAAAAAGACGCATGTGTGACAGTGTGTTGGCTCTTCGCAGGTCTTTCTTTTTTGTAGAAGCACTAGAGATCCATTGGCTCACCATCAATCACAGTTATTACCTGCATTTATCTGGAATGAAGCACAACAGCCACTCCACAGAGAGAAGGTGCAGCATGCAATATAGTGTAAAACGATTCTAACTGTAACCTTGGAAACCAATTTTTTCCCTATTACAGTGGAAAAAAAGAGAAAAATAAGGAACATTAGTTGAAATTCAATATGGGGTCTGTCTGAGGAGGTCATTCCTGCAAAGCGGGGCACTCAATTTGTTTGAGATTAAAACAAAAGTGAAAAAAGTAATTGCTGTTAGTGTAGACTGAGTCATCTCTGAAATTCCAAGAAAGCATGAAAATGTCAAACGAAAACACAATACTAGGTTCAAAATCACTTGAATTAAAAAACTCATCACCAAAAGACATGCTCAAAAGAAATCAAACTGTGCTTTGTTTTCAGTGTAAATGAAATAAAAGAAAAATACAAAAGAAAACATTTGCAGTGCCAAAACATCTGGATAATCAAACTAAAAGAACATCAAACGTTGACTAATGAAAGAAACTTATCGCATTTTTAGTAGGGCTGTCAAAAGATTAATCGCGATTAATCGCATCCACAATAAAAGTTTGTGTTTACATAACATATGTGTGTACTGTGTATAATTATTTTGTATATAAATGCACACAAGTATATATTTCAGAAAAATATGTTATTTATATATAAAATGTTTATATTTATATAAAATATACATTATATATAGGCTACATTCAGTCTATATACAGTATATACATGCAAATATTTCTTAAATACACATGCATGTGTGGGTATTTATGTATTAAAAATAATTATACACAGTACACACACATATATTATGTAAACACAAACTTTTATTTTGGATGCGATTAATCATGATTAATTGTTTGCCAGCCCTAATTTTAAGACATCATGCATCACACCCCGACAGCAGTGGAGGAAACCATTTTCAAAACAGACTTTGATCAAATGGTCAATACTATATGACCTGCACAGTGGCGCATGACAAACTGGTCATAAGAACAGCCTACAGATATTTCTGGAACCAGGGACGGGAGAGCACCATGGCACGTTACTTAGCCTGAAAGCAAGCTTGAATCATTTCTCTGTCAAATGACTTCTTATTCTCCCACCTGACCCAATGTCTCCTTTCACCTGGACACTTCATTGCTGTGATACTTGACGGGTGAGGAAACAAACAATTCAGTTGGTCAGAAGTGACAAGACAGTGAATAAAACGCTCCAGCAGCTTCTTGATAGAATCACTACTTACACACTGAAATCACATCCAAAGTTCAGGCATTGTCCTCGCGCATCAATCTGACCAACTGGAAAAATGAGCTAGGCTCTTTCAGGCAGACGTTCAAGATACCCTTTTATACTTCAATAACACATTCTATACTTCAAGTTAACTAACTACAGATGTAAACCACTGCTGCTACTGTAGTCATAGTGCCACTAACACTAATGATACTGTAAATGTGGTTTGGAGCTAGGAAAGAAAAATGGAGAAGAGAGACTAAATATTCTGTTAAAACGTAACTATACTTAATGGTTTATTAGAGTTCATATTGTTAAACTTTTGATTTTTATTTTATTCAATAATATTATGGGGATGCCACTATATTACCATACCATCAATATTTCCCACAACAATATCACATTTATTGCAAAACAAGGCAATAAATCAAGGCGCAGACTTCGCTGTCAAGTGTGTAGGACCCAGAGGAGGAAGGTGACCTTTGTCCCCAGGGCTGTCCTGCTATTAAACTCCAAGTCACCATCCGCCCCCCAAATCTTTGAACTGCGCTAAACATGCCATAGACTGAACAGTCATATCCACTTTTACTCTTATTTTTTATTTATTTATTTATTTTTAGTAATGATGTGATGTGTGGAGTTGAAGATATGCTATTCCTTGTGTCATTTGAATTGCCCCTTGGGGATGAATAAAGTGATTTGAATTGAATTGAATTGAATTGAAAACAGTAAAATATTTGCGACAGCATAGAGAATATCTATTTTTTTACTCTGCACGTCATTTTGTGTGGTGTTGTCTGAACATTAAACCCAGGTAAGGTTGAAAATGAGCTGCTTACACAAGAAGCACCTAAAATTGCAGAAAAAGTATTAGGATACAGGCTTTCAGTAAGATGTGTGCAATTTGTTTTTAGTTTCAACAAACATATGAGTTGTTCCCTGTGTGTCTATGTATAGTGCTTATAGCAAAAAAAAAGAAAAAGAAAAAGAAAAGGCTGTCCTACATATGTCAAATATCTTCCCTTTGAGCATTAACCAATCACTAAATATCAGTAATATTAGTTTCATTAGCATGTTACATAATAACAAATCAAAGTGATTCTGTCCTTGAATCAGATCAGATTATCAGGGAGGCGATAGAGCTTTTTGAAGGTCATCCTGTGCATAAGGGATGGCATTTTCCCATGCATCCCCTCCCCCGGGCCAACAAAACGCGTAACAACACAGCCCTATGGACTGTGGCAGGAAGTGAATGAACTCGGAATGCTTTGTTGGGATTGGACAGAATCCCTATGGGATGGCTAAGCAAAGCTGAACCAACATACGCAGTAAGCAGAAGTTCACAGTCAGGGTGTCCCTGCTAATCTGCTGCCATGAAAACACGATGTGGGGGATCCAGACTCACATTAACACTGTAACCTTGCGTCACAGGATGACGTGTTGGCCCCGCTGAAGCTGAGGGGACGTGACACTGTTTATACAACTAAAGCCTCTGAAATCTGCTAAATACAGCACAATCTCATTTCCCACAGTCTCTTCCACTACATTTGAAGTGGTCTATAAAAAAAGAATCATCTAGCAACCACTAGTATCGTTTATAATTACTCTGATAATGAGCACTGAAAAACACAATCTAACACCTCTGAGATTGCACTATATTTTCTATAACCATCTGTATCAATTCCATTGGATGTAAGAGCGCTTGATTAAACCGATGTTCAAGCACTCTAACCAATGGAATTGATACGGATGGTTATACAAAATATATATGCCGTAAAAGCATCTAAAATTTCTTTGCATTTGCTTGTATCATATTCTAAGCCTTTGAATGCTCCAAAATCAGTTCAGTCATGTGCCCCAAATTCATCTCGCTGAAGTGCAGTGGTAAACTTGTTTAGTTCCACTTAGCCCCAGCTCAACAGATGTGCATTTATCACGCTCGGCCATGACGGAACAGCTGTAGGGTCTTTGGGGACTGTGGACTGCCAGAGGCAACTTTGACCACTGGGTCTGTCATCTGCATTTGGTCAGTCTCAAGTCCACATGCAAAAGAGCCTTTGGAGACACTGGGAATGTGACCAAGAACAGCTCCCGGGTCTCAGAGGAGTATTGAGACAACAAAATATAACACTACAGGCCAACCAGAATTTCCTGTTTGGCTTCGGTTTTTGGTTGCTGTTTCCTTTAAGCTTCTGGTCAAATGTATTTGTTAAAGTTAAAAATATGTACCAATAAAAAAGGAACAGCATATCTTAAATGTAATAACAGATACTGGAGAACTGCCTAGGGATAGCAAACCACATTCAGATAAAGTTTTCTGACCTGTCCTACCTGACACATGGCTCTGGATGAGATGTAACAGAGCCAGAGAGGATAGAGAGGGATAGGGTTTAAAACTGAGCCAGAAAAAGAGGTACGGCCCACAGCTCACACATTAAGATGGCTCTAAAATCTGATTGGATGGCCTACATTCAAAGCTGTTGTCAAAAAAACTGACATACCTGAATCCACTCATCTAATTCGATAATGGATAGTTCACCCAAAAAAGAAAATTACTCACACTAATGCTGTTCCAAACCCGATTTTCACAGTATGGACCCCCAAAAGAAAGTGTAAGGACAAGGGTGAGCACCTTTAAATAAAAATTGTGTCATCAGTTAAACTGTCCTTCTAAGTTGATAGAAAATATTAAAACCATTAATTAATAAATGGCTTATGCTTTAAATATATACAATTTGAGGACAGAAATGTAATAACTATTTAAAAAAAGATCCCAAATATATGGAAGGGATTCAGCCAGATGAGAAGCGGCAAACTGCAAGGCAGAATCCCAGAGGGTCGTGCCAGAGACCAAGTGGGCACGCTTGCTTCTAGGAGGTTGCTCCAGGGAGCAGAGGCGTAGATTTTACACAACTATCCATCTCTCATGCCTCTTCCAGTGAGCTGGCACCTGGCGTCTTACCTTCCGCTCCTGGAACCTGCGGTTGCTAAGCACAAGTTAATTCACCCAGGGCTTCTGGAGTTCTGCTTCCACTCAATGAGCATCAGTCACAGCAGCATTATCAAGCTAGAATCACACAAACACACTCAATAGGGCAGTTTATACAACAATAGAGAGATAACGACAAAGAGAGTGGTCCTTACTGACAGACACAACAAATGCCAAATGAGACATCAGCTTTCAGGAATCGAGGGATATAACGCTTTGGGGCATTAGCTCAAGGACCGGTCTAAAAATATAAAAAATATTAACACAGATTCTCTCTCTCGCTTGGGTATCTACCGAGAACGGTCTTGGGAAAGGGTCTGAATAAAAAGTTTAAATATTAATGCCCACCTTGAATATTTACGGATATGTTCAGCTTGGTAATTTGAAGGCTTTTTTGTGATATTTTTTATTTGTTTTTTAATTTGGTGAGAAAATGATGTACCATAATTAGCCCATTCCTTCTCTTCACATCAGTGTTCACCAACACGCCCACACATGTACAGCAAAAAAGACTGAACCTAAATCACGCTTCATGCGAGGTTTGTCATGTTTGCATTATGAAGACTCAGATGGAGCCCTTGCTTTGCAAGCGAACTCACTTATCCTTGCTGAGGGCTATTTTAAAATATTTTATATCCTTTGCTTATTTACTCACTCCAAAACTGTGGATGTATGAACAATTTAGGAACAAAAATTAAAAGTTAGGAAGTTAGACAGTATTTTTGTCAATGTCAATAAAGATAGTAAAATTCACCTGTTGGTGTAAGCCCTATTTGAGCAACAGGAAAAGAAAGGGTTACAACTATTACACGAGACCAATCGGGAACCAGAGAAGTGTTATAAACCACAGCAGAAGAAGGGGGAGGGAAAGCGAGAGCGATGAGGGGAGGTAGGAGGGAAGAGAGAGAGAGAGAGAGAGAGAAGAGGAGGAGGAGAGAAATGAGTAGGTAGGGCATTTTGAAAGCGCTGAGTGTAGGGATGGTAAGAGAGAGAAAGACTGAGAGGGAAGGAACAAGGGAGGAGGAGAGGAGCAGATCTCCAAGCAAGATGCATGACACTACATCCTACAACATCTGACTTCCCTGCCCCCCTTTGACAGGCGCGGAGTGCTTAGAGAAAGGCAGATAGAGGAAGACAGGCAGACTCATCCCTTCAGACAAGCATGTCCTTTATCACTCGTCCTGGCATGGGTTTACTCAAACTGGGAAATATATGGGCTACCAGGTCACTCGCTCTTATGGCAGCAACTAGAGGTAAAAAGCTTCAGGTTTCTGTACTCTCACAACTAGAGCATCTGCTAAAGGGAATGCATGCTATTTCATACAAGCGATAACTTTAGAGATCTGTTTAAAGCTGACAACTTTTACTTTTTAAAATACAGGAAATACTGTACAGGGTTAATACCAAACATGAGCAAATTTACGTGGCAGCATGTTTTAAATTCAGAGCAGTTAGCTTCTATACTGTGGACAGAAAGATTTTTTTGTTGTTGAAAAAACAGCTTTGACACTTACATTGTGGAAAAAAGATGCATGCTTTTATGTGGTTCCTCCAGTGGCCAACACAGTATCTGACACATTTAACTCAATTAATGTATGTGGAAAGAGCAAAACTGAGCAATCGAAACCCATCCAACCCATTATCCTCGTAACGGGAAGATGATTTGAGCGCTCTTGTCGCCATTACAGCTTCTGTCTAGTGCTGAAAAGCTGCCTTCTAGCTTAAAAAAAAACCAGAGAGATGCTTGGAGATGAAGAGTAAGAGATGCTTGGAGATGTATGATATATGGAGTATAGCCCTTGTAAGCATAGTGTGGGAGTACTGCAGCTCGCTTTGCAAACAACCACTCACAGTCACTGTTTAATGAGTTTCTATTGGGCATAAAGCCTTTCGACCAAATTATTACACCAGAGACACCATCAAAGACATAAAAAGTTGACTGACTGGGGTTCGCAATCTCTGCGAGGTCTCTCCATTACATTTATGGACAAAAAAACATGCACGTTTTATAATAGAACAAGAGTTACCGTAAAATGGTTTATATGAAGATGCCACTATCCTGTAGAGATTTTCAAGGTCATGACTCTGGTAGAAAGACAACAAAATAATTCTAACTCTTACTTTTTTTGCACCTACCAGCAGCTAGAGAGTGAAACTACTGAGGATGGAGCTCCTGTTCTGGTGTCCCACATGAACACCAAAAAGAGAGGGTAAATATATGCCACACAGTGCACCGGCTTGACTACCTCCTTCCCTCTGGAAACCTGTGACCTTGTTGCGATTACTGTGTACCGCTGTCTACCTGACTGGTCTCCTGGAGCTGTACTGTGGCACAGCAAGTGGGGGTGTGATTTACTCAGGTGGAATACAAGGGGCCGTGGACTCAGCAGGGAGAGGGTGCAACTTTTGTTTTATGGTGACGAGAGAATGCCAGTCCTAACCCGTCACACTGAAGGAGATGCATTTCTGCTTGTGGTTCACAAAGTCTTGGAATAATCACTGAGGATGGGACATGGTGCTGTCCCTGATCAATTCTGCAAGATCTGTTTTGCCAATACAAAGGACAAAAGGCTAATGACAAGCCTGAATACAACACAGCTTTCATGTCAAAACCACGTGGATATTACAATGCACAAACCCTTCCCACGCTCTGAAAAAAAGGAAGAGCAGAGAGTGTTTCCATCTCCCACATCCTCCCACAGAAATCTAAGGATGCGAGGGAATGAGGTATGAGCTGTTTGGACTGCGTTTAATCAACCCTACAGAGAGGTGTTCATCCGGGGGGTCATCACTTGTTCAGTCAGTACCATGCTGGGGCTGATGACAGCCTTTGCTGCAGCATTTGTTAAATCTTAGGTCATTTGAAATCACTTTTTTCAAAAAAAAAAAAAAAAAAAGCAAGCCCACAACGGAGCAGGCACGTAACAGAATGGCGTTGAAGGAGCAAAGGACACTGCCGAGATAAAAGAGGCGTTGGAGTATGGTTGGCGTCTATGACATCCTGCCAACACATCAGCACTTTGGTTGCATTTGCTACACAAGCTCCTAACAAGGACAGTGAATACAAGGGAGGGGTGAGTTTCGTTAGTCTATGCACATATTTTATGTGCACATGTATTGCATATCAATGTCTCTTCCTTTTTAGGTTCTTTTTTAATTATGGTACATTCACATTTTTGTTATTTGACAGCTATATTTTGGGTAAGTTGTACTAAACAGCTAAACAGTTTTGGCGTAAACACTCAGTAGCATGCGATAGAAATGCTTCTCAGACAAACCTGTAGCATCTAAACAACAGCTAATTTCTGGTAAAAGCTTGCTGTGTTAACAATAAATTGACCCAGCAGACATGTTAAAACAGCCACTTTAATTTTTTTTGCATGTGTAGGAGAATGCATACCCCTCCTGTGCTGGGATTCCAGGCCATCATGAGCAACTTCACTGTCCTCGATAACGTTGAACCTCTTGACTTCGAAATGGACCTGGACACTCCTTACCCTGTCAGCTTCCAGGTGTCTCTAACAGGTTTCCTCATGTTGGAGATTGTGCTGGGTCTCAGTAGCAACCTGACTGTTCTGGCTCTCTATTGTATGAAGTCAAACCTGGTGAGTTCTGTCAGCAACATTGTAACCATGAACCTTCATGTGCTGGACGTTCTAGTGTGTGTGGGTTGCATCCCACTTACGATTGTGGTGGTGCTATTACCACTGGAGGGAAATAATGCACTCCTTTGCTGCTTCCACGAGGCTTGTGTGTCCTTTGCTAGCGTCGCTACTGCTGCCAATGTCCTGGCCATCACACTAGACCGCTATGATATCTCAGTTCGGCCTGCAAATCGAGTACTCACAATGGGACGTGCAGTGGCCCTATTAGGGTTCATTTGGGCTCTATCATTCCTCAGCTTTCTGGTACCCTTTATAGAAGAGGGTTTCTTTAGCCAAGCAGGTAACGAAAGGAATCAGACAGAGGGGGAAGAACCTTCAAACCATTACTACAGTGAATTGGGACTCTACTATCACCTGTTGGCACAGATTCCAATCTTCTTTTTCACTGCTGTGGTCATGCTGGTTACTTACTACAAGATTCTGCAGGCACTCAACATCCGTATTGGCACACGTTTCCATTCGGCACCCAAGAAGAAACCAAGAAAGAAAAAGACCATCTCCATGACTTCCACTCAGCCAGAGTCCACCGATGCCTCGCAGAGCAGTGCAGGCAGGAATCCACCATTGGGTATGCGTACCTCTGTGTCTGTGATCATAGCCCTCCGCAGGGCAGTCAAACGGCACAGGGAACGCCGTGAGCGGCAAAAGAGGGTTTTTCGCATGTCACTTCTTATCATCTCCACCTTCCTGCTTTGCTGGACACCCATCACCGTGCTCAACACGGTTATCCTGAGTGCAGGGCCGAGCAACTTCACTGTGCGTCTCAGACTGGGCTTCCTGGTCATGGCTTATGGAACCACCATTTTTCACCCGTTGCTCTATGCCTTCACTCGGCAGAAATTTCAAAAGGTTCTAAAGAGTAAAATGAAGAAGCGTGTTGTGTCAGTTGTAGAGGCTGAGCCTATGCCTAATAATGTGGTCATCCACAACTCATGGATTGACCCAAAAAGGAACAAAAAGGTGACTTTTGAGGAGACAGAGGTCAGGCAAAAATGCCTCTCATCAGAGGATGTGGAATGAGCTACTGGGCCAATTTTAGGAAAATATCCTCATCAGGTAAAGAATCGTTAAAAAGGGAAAACACTAATCCAAAGCAGTAATGAACTTAAGTGTATTAATTGTACAGTACCTTAAGGAGGAATAATTTATTCTTATTTATTGTAATGGTGACTATTGTAGATGTCATAGATGGTAGTGTAAATACTGCATGTGCTTTATTAAAGTGGTTCTAGAGATTGTACATTCATACCTAAGTATAAACCATAAATGTAAAGAAGTAGAAACTGATGCTCTTGGGTTTGTTCATTTGCATTAAATACCCCAAAAAACAGCTGAAGAGATTTTTCTTGTTATCATGATGAACCCTACGCAACTGCTTTGTGATAACACTGAGTTACACTTCAGGAGTAAATGCTTTTTCACTCTGTAGAGAAAGAGGTTTTATGTCTGTTCTCCTTCAGCTTTAGCCACCCCAATTTTTACTTGTGGAAAATATAAGACAAACCCTTTTAAGAATTCAAACTATGGGTTTCATTAAGTGGATATCTATTTGCCCTCTACCCTGCAATACAATTAACAAGATAGCTATATTACTTGGGTCAACAAGTCACAGGGTGTACTTTCAAAGCAAGGTCTGTTTCCTTTCAAAATCACCCGCACGGCCAGTTGGCATACAAATCACATCTTTTTATAGGGATGAGGGAGGTGGTACACAGCATATTGTCCAATAAAGCTGCTGGGGCATGAAGTGGTTGGGGAATGTCAATGAAAAGGTGTTGACTTATAATACTTGAACTTAAGAGACCCATTGAGCTGATGGTGTTTGATTATAGGTTAAACTGGATTAGAGGGTGATAAATGTATCTTTTGGCAAGCTAGGAAAAATAATCACCCCTTGCACTGCAGCAATGAAAGGTCACACATTGATTTGTGTAAGGGGCAAAGTCATGCCATTGCACACTGAAAATTAAGCAAAATGCAGTTCTGAGATGCAGGTCAATTCCCTATTTGGTTGAAATGCTCAAATTCAGGAATAGGTGCCAGTATTGGATATCTTGCATATGGTGTAATGATCTATCTTGTGCTGAGACTAATAAAAACTTTGCGATGTCACACAACGAGTAAATAGAGGCGAAAATATCTCAATGGAGTCAATGAGGCTACATATGACTATCATAGAGGTACTAATTCCTGATTGAATATACTTTATCAAATTAAACAGCTTTTCAAGCACTTAAAGATATTTTAAGTACTAAATCTTTCACTTCCTTATTCAGTACTGGCGCAAAATGCAAAACAATTATATGCACAGATATTGTCAGTTACCCAAAGCGCAGCTCAGTTGGATGGGCTTTTAACTTGATTGAAAACCCATCTGACAGTTCATTACAAATTACTCCAGTGTTAGGAACTAAACATTACTTATGTTCAGCTTATATCATCAAGTGACTGTTCTACAATAGTATGTTCTTGAGTTTATCTAGATTACAGTTCAGAAAGCCAAGGTAGCTGATCCATATTTAGAGCTCACACACTATGCTGAAACAAGAGCAAGTGGGAGAGTTGAAGAAGTGCATGATTGATGCAGGTCTTCAATGGTGTAACAGGTCTCTCAAAACACTGAGTTACTGTAGTAAAATCTGCACAGTGTCAAATCTGTCCAAACCGCTGTACCCAAGACCCAGCTATCTTGGGGCCCTGTGCTTCAAAATCAATTGTGAAATGTTAACTTCTTGCTTAAAGTCCCCATGAATTCAAAATTGACCATACTTACTTTGTTTCCCTAAATTGATAGTTTTGTGGTGAACAATTCATCCATGCAATTCAATCCACACAAAAAAATGTTTTGGCTTCGTAATCTTTAATCAAAATCTGAAATTTCCCCTCCCCTCTGCGTTGGAGGACCTTGCCTGATGACGTAGGTTTCACGGGTTGGGCGTCTTCTTAACATCCGTAATCACGCCCCTCCAACTGACAGTAGACAGGCTGAATGACAACACCTACTTTTCTAGATCCAATCAGGTGCTAGTTGGGAAAAAAGCCACGCCCACCATTTTGCCTCATTTAGTATTCCGTTTCTCTCGGAAATACGTCACAACACTGGAGAAAAGTCGTTTGCAACTTCCGGTTCACGGGGACTTTAAGTGCCCTCCCAGACAACTCCAAAGGACTCACTCTTTTAAGAGCCCTTTAAGGCAATTGTATGATCAAATGCAACAGATCATACAGAGGCCTGTGGAGCTGTTGCCCTATGATGAGTTGACCTATGATTTAGGGTTGCTCATGAATGAAGGCTTTATTGTTTTAGCTGTAAACAACATTTCTGAGAGGCATGTGGAGAAAAATAATAATGAGTGCAAGCGAGCAATAGGCCCCAGCCAGTAAGAAGGGCTCCCAAAACTGGAACGGCTCTGCAATGTTCAGGGCCTGAAAACATCCAAAGTCACATTAGCACTAATGCAAAGTACTGTTTCATTGTTAATGCCAATAAAAAGAGGTTAAGAATATTGAACTGTCTGGTATTGGTATTATTACATGTATCTTGATTTAGACCCCAGTAATTTGATTAGCTTTTTTGTTTTGTTTTACATAACACCAACCACAAACTAAACTTTGAGCAGCATCCAAGAGTCAAATTTCTCCCTGCTTGGCTCTATATCCACAGCCTGTAATCAAATCACAATGAGGATTGTTTCACCTCGATGTCTTTACAATCTGTCTAATTGGAGCATCTATACCTCTCCACTGTCTGCTTTCATTCACCCAATTTATTCCTCTTACCTCGCTACACTGATCATGACATCCACATGCCACTCATATATTCCCAAAGGAGGGAGTCACTGAGTCCGAAGTCGTGTGATTGACACTTCATCTCCATTTGACAGACAGGTGCAGTTCAGGTGGTGCAAAAAATGAACAAACAAAATCCCTTGTATTACTTAATTATTTTCAAATCAATATATAAGGTAACAAGGTGGCTCACGTGAGTACATTTACTCACATGTAGAAATATAATTGTCTCCATAACAGACTGCAGCACACAATTCTCATTTCTTCTTGTCAATTCTCAGCTCTTGACATTTATCTGACTTTGATTTCCTCTCCTCAACAGCATCATTGCTTCAGTTTGTGATCCCATGTGATCTCATGTGAAGACTGTAAAGATGATTTTCTCCCCTCCTCAACAGCATCATTCCTTCAGTTTGCCCATGTGGTCTCATGTGAAGATTGTAAAGTGCTTTGGGTGTACAGTAGTACATAAGAAAAGCGCTGTATAAATCCTTCATTCATTCATTCATCCCACTCCAATCATCTCATTACGGCTGACAGCAGCCACACACACATGCCTTCCGCCAATCAAAACACCTTCCCCTCCCTCCATTGCCCTAGCCTAGTCAATCCTACCCTTAAGCCATTTTCGAGTTCTCCTTCAACTGTTCATCAATCTATCTGGCTGTCCATCCCTCCCTTACATAGCTGGGAAACGGATTCATAAATCATGTAACTAAGTCTGCTGTCATTATTGTGTTAGGACCACTATAATTCAAGGCTGATTCAGACATATGTTGTGGACACAATCAGAAAACAACCAATGGCCTGCAAAATTAAAGTAATATGAAAGAAAAATTAAGTTTTGAATTCATGCCATATTGATCACTATGGTAAAGAAATGCCTAGAGAAGATACTGGACTAGAATGTATCAGGATATACATCACACAGTATAGTTCTCTACCCTTAACACGTTTATACTATTGCATGATATATGCTGTACATCCGAACAACCCTACACTGGAACACAATGATAACGTCTTACACAGTTATGTTGCATGGTAAACAGGAAAGCGATTTGTCAATTAAACCTTTAAGGGTCCATTATCATTTACTGATTGTCTTGTTTACAATCCAATAACATGATGCTATCAGCAGTTTTATAAACTCTCAAGCTCGAAACCAACCACTGTCCAACTGCACCTCATCGGATTTCTTGTAACACCATCTGAGGACAGTGTGCCCTAGACAGAGACAGACTTCAAGACAAAGAAAGCAGTTTAATTGCTTCTACAGTTTCAGGGCTGCATCTGGAAAAAAAAGATGACTAATCTGACATGTACCATAAAACATTCTGTCAAAACCTATAGACAAAAAGGCTTTTCTACCAGTGTATGGCAGTATGTTTTTAAACAGGTTGCCTAATGGGAGATTTGTTAGACCGCTTTCTACGCTGGATGCCAGAGAGCTGCACATACAGATAATGATATCAAATCAGACCTTGGCTGTTCATGTTATATCTTGAGGGGGTGGAGAGAAGGCTTAAAAGCTGTGCATCCTGCGAAAAAAGGACAGGTGCTGTTAGAGCACTCTAATTGTCTCATCTTGGACGGTGATGCTAATGCAAAGATGTCTCTGTAATCCATTAGCTGGGTGAGACGAATCCAAATATGACCCTCACTTTGACATGATAAATAATTCAATGGATGGAGAAAACATATTACTGAATCATATTGTGTCATGAAGAGAATGGCATGAACCAAAAGCTAGAGAGCTGCCATTTTTTCTACCGCTAACACAATCTGCTGCCTTTTAAGGCATCTCATAATAAGCAGTTGATTTGGAACGCTAACAGGCAGCAACTCAAAAATACAGCTAACTCACGAAAAGCAGAGAGAGAAGAGAGTTGAAGTACATTTGGTTCTAATACAGTTTGACATTATCATGTTGCTCATTCCTTCACTGTCACAGTGCATTTTAGGGCTTCTGCAAAAAAAAAAAAATCCAACGATGCCCTGATATTGGGATAAAATGAGGTATCTTACAAGGCAGCCAGCGTTTACATAGGAAGTGGGCCTATGATGGTTTAAAACGCTGTCGCTTATAAGCATATAAGTAAAAAAGAGAAACAGACAGAGATACTTTGTGTTGCTTGCCACGGCATAATATTATGCAAGCGGTAAATACCAATATCAGCATGCCCTTCGTATGCACAATGGGAAACTACTGTTCGCTTGAATTGATTTAGCTTCAGTTGAAAAGAATATGCAAATAGAAACCAGGAAAAAAAAGCACCTTGCTGATCTTCACTGGAATCTTTCCTACAGGGCCTGTGCCTTAATAATGTAGATGTGTTTACTAAGAGCACATTGGATTTGCATTGTGCTATTTATCTGTCCTTTCGAAATCTATAGGCAAATTTACAAACAAAAGGTCAATTGAGTACAAGTCAATATGAATCTGATATTACAGCCATTAAACCCAGAGCCCGAAAATAAGTTTTACATTCCAGATAATGTCCAGACAATTATGGCAGTGTTCTAAAATTACACGAAAACAATTCAACACCCTCAAAGTCAACATAAAAAAGCATCTCAACTCATTTTACTTCTGAAATTCCTAGTGAAACATTATTTAACAGGGGGTGGTTGGGGGAGGGGCTGTCAGACAGGCTTTAATTTGATGCACAGGGAATTGATTGGGTCATGAAAGGTGTTCCCTGTTTAGAGGTGAAGTCACCAATATGACCTGGAACGTGTATTAAATGTAAATGGGGTCATTTTTGATTTCCTGTCAACTTTAAGCTCTATGAGATTACTATAATGTACTTTGGTCACTATTAAAACTAAAGTCACTTGTAAGAGCTAATCGGGTCAGACATTAATCAAGTGGGGTTTTCAACAAAACAACCTACAATATCTCCAAAACAGGTCAGACAGTTCCTAAACCAGTTTCAGACAGTCCTCACACCTGCATTGCAAATTAAACAAAACATTTAGGCCACAAGAACAGGGCTGACCTGGAAATAGTACAATATTGTTCTGAAGCCATTTACACAACATTGGTGCATGCCATAGCACTTGAATAATTATCATTAGTGCCCTTAAAACAGAACTAAATCCTATATAAAAAACAGCCATGCCCACAGAAAAAGTGTTACACTCTTAAAATAAAGTTTCTTTATTGGCATCTATGGTTCAACGAAGAACCTTTCCATGGGCTTTTGCACTTTTTTCAGCTGGTCAAAAATATCATCATACAAGCGCATAACATTTTTGGGGATGTTCGGTCAGTTCCATTGCGAAATAAAAGCCGACCAATCAGGTTGTGAACATATCCCTATGCCTTTAAGTTCGGTATCTTTAGACCAGGACCAAATGTTTATTTTTTTGGTCCGGACCAAACGAACCAAGCAAACCGAACTACAAGTGTGAACACGCCCTTAGTTCTCAGAGGACTTCCCTGGTGGCTAGTTCCTGTTACTGAGTTCCTAACTACCTGGTGCGAAAGCCCCTAAAAGGCTCTTGGATTTTTTAAATGTTCTTCAGACATTTTTTTTGTTTTGTTTTTAAGAACGATTCACTAAAAGGTTCTTTGAGAAACCAAATGTGATTCTTCTATTGTATCGCTGTGAAAACCCCATTTTGGAACCTTTATTTTTAAGAGTGTATATGATATAACCCAATAAAGACAACATAGGTAAAGAGTTGCCACTGATACAGCTCCATCATGAGTCAACATTTTGAAGGACACGAGGGATGAGCAAAGTAGGCGCTGGTCGTGACGGGTCACTCACCCAGTTCGTTGAGGCTCTGGGCAGCTTTAGTGATCTCTCTGCTGCCCCCTTGCAGTTGCCCCTGCAGTCGTTTGCTCAGGTACAGGATGCGAATAATCCTTCTCAACAGGTCACACGCCACCTGCCACACAAAATATGATAAAGCATCTCATTCCGGTGTTCATCAAATAACATAATGACTTGTGAGCCTATCATAACCAGCACAAGCAAATATCAATGATAAGATAATGATGCCCACATTATGATAAAGTGAAATCCTCTATCAAAAATGTACCATGGTAACCATAGTCTCCATGATATAGATTGTACCTACAGTACAATAAAACTAATAAACCTGGTATTAGTGACCATTAATTATTGTTATGGTATTAATACCTCTTGTTACACACATTTTGTGCAACAGACATGAAGAATGAATAGTGTTTATGTTTACAGTTTTCATCTGGCAATCATAAAATTAAGGGAGGGATTGACAGACTTAAACTGAGAGATTTAAATTAAAGGAGGAACCTGACTAATTGTATAAAGACCATTGCAATCACCTGTAGGATAATAGCGTAATTTGTTTCTGTTAACTCTTTCCCTGCCAATTTCATAGAAAAATGTGTTGTATGAATATCTGCACATGCAAATATATCAAAAACAAACAAAACAAAAAGCCTCTGGTTTTAACCAAAAACACATTTTATTCTAGCTACAAGCATTCTTTTTTTTTAATCAAAACTTGGATGTGGGTAAGTTTAATAAAATAAAATAAACATTTTGAGAAAAAAAAAGCTGAGAAATGGTGTTCTTTCTGAAAGACTACAACATGCATAAGCTTTTATCGCTTGTTTCTGCTCTTTTTTTCACCTGTGTTTTGACCCGGAGATTCTGTACTCTACCGTATAACAGTGAAAACATGAAAAGCCAGTAAATTCCATCAATGGCGGGCAAAGAGTTAATATACTCAGATTAAGTGGTGCTTAAATAATTTTATGTATTTTATCAAGGAGATGGATGTGCATCATCTCACAGGATTCTTTTAGGACTAGAATAGCATATCAGTTACAAGTCATCGTCAATGAATTTCACACACATACAAATACTATAAACAAGCACGAGTAGTCCTTTGATTCCCACCCTAGCAGACAACACACACTTCTATTAATAAAAGAAACCGTAGAACTCTTATAACCTAGGACATTTGTGCTCAAAAAGTGAAACTAAGCCACATGTTCAGTTAGTATGACAATCCTGCCTGTGGGCAGACAGCAGGCAAATGAAGGACTCGGAGAGGTCAGTCTTTTTTGTGTTTCAGTAAAAAGGTGCAGCTGAACTGTCCCAAAGGTACGTGCATCTTTTTCTGTGTGTGTCTGACACTGATTGCTTTGTCCCGGGGTGAGAGAGTGTCAGATAGTGTAAAGATACGGACAAATTCAAAAGGAAAACAGGAAAAAATTCAGCTGTGTCCCCATCGTCAAGTCTGGTCTTAGTCTTATGAGGAATAAAAATAAATTTAAAAATCTGTTGCTAAAGGCAAGGACAGGACAGACCCAGACACAAAGACAACATGAAATGAACAATGCCCCACACTTCTGAATCTATGTGTGCCATCAGACAGTCAAATACTACAATGGTTACACATCTTATTTTTAGAAAAATATATGAATAATAATAACAGTAATGCATGCATTGGGATCATAGGAAATATGTTCAATTTATCCAACATTCATGCTTTTTTTGTTCGACTAACAAATTATTAAAATTTGTATTGGTTTACAAGCAAGTCTGCTTAAGACAAAACAAAATGTGTATATTTGTATATGATACAGTATGCATAAATTATCCAAATTTCCAATAACTCCCATTAAGTTTCCAACTCTGAATATTTCCAAAACTCCCCAGCTTAACTTTCCATGGAAAGTTTTCCGCCCCTTTGCAAACATAACTTTGACAGACTTGTTTTTCATTGCAAATGTATTCTTCTATACATTTCAATACACAGCAGGTTCCCATTGTGACAACTTGCCCCTATAAAAAACCAAACTAACTTTTTTTTTTCAGGGCAATAACATTAGTGTAACTCCTGTAATCAATATTCATTTTTTTTTTTTTTAGGTATGTGCCAAATCCAATACAGATATTGAAAAAGATGTTTAAAAAATGTTAAAGAAGAAATACCAACTATGACAACATACCCTGAATGCGACTGCAGCATGCAAACAATAATCAAACCACTGATGGATCATCATGGAGTTTGTGATGATGCTATGCTGATGAGCAAACACAAATATGCAAATGTGTTTCTACTCTTCTATAAAGCCACACAAGAAAAGGAGCAGAAAGAGGTTTTGAGAGTAAAGGGGATCATTTCATAACCACAGCTGTATTTCATTCATATTCAAAAAACAATTCCCCAAAGCCACTCAAAACCAGGACTGAAGACCCCGTAAATCCACAAGATGTGCCGAGCGGGACAATATTGTTCACCTAGCTGTGTGTATTCACGTGTGTGACTGATAAAGTGTGATAGAGACCCTTCTTTCCGGGCCCAAATTTACTTTTATTGATTTTTTTCCCTGCAGGCTTGAAGCTTCACTCAAGATGAAATCATGTGAAGTGGTTGGAAAAGAGCTGCATAAAGATTGTAAATATTAAACACTGCACAAAAGAAAATGTGTTTTATATTCCTCTAAGAAAACAAATGAATTTGGAACGACGAGATTATTACTATACTATGTTATACTAATTACAAGATTTTGAATTGGGTAAAAGTTTTTTTTTTGTGGATGTGATACATCACATATCAATATTCTAAAACATCTATTCTTTCCGAGAAAGATTTTCTTTTTGTTTGTGTGCATTTCTTTTTTTCGTCCCTTGTCGGGTGTATAACAGAATCTGTCTTGACTGCAAACAACTGTGAAGGCAGGGCTGTATCTATCTCAGATGTTGAGCCAAAACACGGAAATCAAGCTTTAGGAAAAAAAGCACACAGTGTTTGTAAAGCAGGACAGTGAAGAAATAATGGTTCAGCAGAATGCAAATCTCTCGGTCTGCTTGGAATATCCAAGGATAGAGATATGGGATGACAGAAGCAGATGTAAAGGTAAAGAAAAAAACAACACCTGTAAGCGGGCAAGCTGGGCCGTCCGTGCCACAATCTTATTGTAAGGGTCAACGATTTTAGTCCTTATCCTGAGAATGTTAAGAGAGAGAAATGTGTAAATAAAATACTAGTACAAAGTATCTGACAAATTGGTAGTACTTTTTTTTTTTATGCATAGTCCACAAATTGCAGAGACATTTTCTAATGTCTATTAATCATACACCACCTTTTAAATGCACGGACAATTTTAATGCCTTTAATGGGGTAATATACCTTTCCACAGCACTCTGGAGAGCTGCAATTCTGGTCTGCATCATTTGTAAGACACCTGTGTGAAAACAAAAACACCCATAATAGTGCACTGGTAAAGAATTTGAGATGTGACAAGGGATCCCCCTGGAGGACAGCTGTAAAATTGCATTGCACATTCAAAAAAGTGTCAAGTGTCAACTCTGTGTCTCTGTCTTCCCAGTTTGTTCAAACTATGACAGACGAGGTAAGTATTCAGAGGAAAACACACTGCAACTTCTACACATGTTCTTTCGGAAATGTCATTTTTTATATACTTGCTCATTTGAAAGTACACATGAATGGTAGGAAATGTCTAGCATTGCATTTTAAAATCACCATGAATTCAAAATTTCAAAAATTCAATCATTGTAGTGTTTTACTATCAAAGATGTATCCGTGCACATCATTACTATTATTTACATTGATAATCTTTAATCAAAATAATCTCCTCTGATGATGCGTTTACTGGCGCGTGTTGTGATGATGTGTTTTACCTGTCACTCACATGAGATCCACCAATAGCAAACCACAACCATCCAATCACTTCCACATGGAGAAAGTCAAGCCCCGCCCAACATTTATTCTTGTTCGAGAAGCAGTTTCACTTGGATATAGGCTACTGTATGTCACAATAGGTAATAAAAGGCTAATCGCAACTTTCCATTTCCGGATTTAAACTAATATTACATAAACTTGATCCAACTGATGATGATATCTAAAATAAAGTGTTAAAATGTGAAGTGGGTAGTGAAACTTTACCTTCAAGAGACTCGATCCCTGTTGCCTGAGCTAGTAGATCCTCATGTCTGGCCACTACCTGTGATCAAAAACAAAATATTGCTAAATATATTGGTATACATCTTACAATTTTAGTATTATCACTGGTAGCTTTTTAATGATAATTTTCTAATTAGTAGCTGCCTTGGATAGATTTCTATAAAGGATTAGTGCACTTTCTACAGTCTGATGTAAGTTCTGCAGTAAGCTCACTTAATGGTCATGATCCTAACATAGATCTGCATAGAAACATTGGTGCTTGTTGATTGACAGGTGTCACTCGCCTGGCAGTGCAGCTCTTTGTCCAGCTGACTGATGCCTTCTGCCAGCTTTGCCAGCTGCTCTGCAATGACAGCATGATGAATGGCTTGAGCTGTGTATGTCTTTACGTCGAATTCCTCTTTAAGGAAATCGGTATAGCACTCTGGAAGGAAAAGGATCAGGGTTTAGAAAACACATAAAAGGAGATCGCATTGCCTGGAGAATACACTGTGTGTTACTGTGCTTTAACTGCAACTAAAGATACCCAGTCTGCCTGGCTACACTAAAACCACCAGCACAGATCAGATCTAAAAGAGAATTCATATTAAATGAAGATTACCATCTTTCAGCAGTGAATTCGCTGTTGATTCCGGATAAGCGTCCATCGTTGCCACTTCATCAGTGACGTCCAATTCCTGCGTCAAAACATGAATGGAGGGCAACGGCGATGGCTCATGAATATGCATTGGCTGTACTGACGTGACACTCATTAAAAAATCGCAAACTGACACAATTTTTTTTTATGTTGATTTAACTAGTTTTAGAAATATGTTCAAGGTATTATGTTAATTTATGTCATAATATATCGTATTATAACTTGAAATAAATATGAATTCCGTTTCTTGTGGATAAGAGGTAAAAGGTTAAACACACCCACTCACACTGGCAAACGGAAGTGACAAACGGTGCTGTTTGTGACCATGCGTGTTTTAGTCTAATGTTTACTCTTCTGAACGCGCTTTTTAAAGGAATACATATGTACGGTTTGTAATTTAAAATGGACTACATTTTAATTAGGAGTTTAATACTTAAAACTAGTATTTGACATGCTTACTTACAATATGGCAGGATTGTGAGTCGCGGAATTTATGACAGAGGTCCACAATAAAATAATAATGGACAGTGGGAATATCATCACGGACTTGTTTAACAGGGGAAGGCCAGTCAGAGTATGTGCGCCCATGGTGCGTTACTCAAAGTAAGTTAGACAGCATTGACTTGATTCCTGTAATGTAATATTTTGTCCATGTCGTATGTGTTCTTAATGGTTATTCTGGCTTTTTTTCAGGTTAGCTTTCAGATGTTTAGTCAGGAAATATGACTGTGATTTATGTTTCACCCCAATGATCATTGCAGCTGATTTCATGCGCTCTGCAAAAGCCAGAGACAGTGAATTCACCACCAATAAGAGTAAGTCATAGCATATGTATATATTAAAATTATTTATCATACAAAAGTTAACAAAACATTGACAAGTCTATATTACTATAAACGGCACAGGTGCGATAATATGCAAAGTTAGTACCATGGTATAGGAAAAAATTGACAATTTTATGAATGCACTTGGCCACATGTTATTTTTAGCCATATTACCAAGTGACAGTAAAGTCTAAGCTAAAATACTGTCATTGACGTTGACAAAAAGAGAAAAATAACATGGGAAGTGTTTTCTAATTTTGCATGATTATATGTATATAGAATTGTTTTTTCCCTGTTCTCTTCTGACATAAACAGACTGCAGAAAAAATAACAGACCTAAATTTGTCCTAAAATTTTCTAGTGACTTTATGGGTAAGCTGTGTCATGTCAAGGGTTTAGTCGAATACAAATGAATCGTTTACACACACACACACACACACACACACACACACACACACACACACACACACACACACAAACTCACACTTGTTGTGAGAATTAACTTTGTTCTTGTTCACTCATAAACTTGTCCTCAGTTTTCTCAACGAGACTACAATTAGATGCAACGCTTCGGTTGAGTCACTGGCACAGCCTTCTACTCGTATCATATATAACATGTGTGTGCTTCTTAGCTGACCGACCCTTAATTGTCCAGTTTGCTGCGAAGGACGCACAGACGCTGGCAGATGCTGCATGTGTGGTTTCTCCTTTCTCAGATGGGGTGGATTTGAACTGTGGCTGTCCACAAAGGTAATGCGTCCAATGAAATATTACCCATCACACACTGCTCAAACATTTTTTTAGTAGAACATTTTGTGCACAGGTTGTTTGTGGAAGCTGCAGTTTCCCAGAATTTGAGTGACAGCAGTCATGTGGATGTGTGTGTTGCAGGTGGGCCGTGTCTGAAGGCTACGGTGCGTGTCTGATTAACAAACCTGAGCTTGTGAAAGACATGGTTAGGCATGTCCGAAACCAAATAGACAATCCCAACTATGCAGTATCCATTAAAATAAGGTGAGCATATGATCTCCTGACTTTAAAGTACACTCATTTTTCTAACTTGTATTAATGAATTTGAAAAATGTCTTCGTTTTAAAACTTGTTGAAATTATTGGACAGTTGATAACTTGAAAACTGTGTGTTTCTCAACTCCCTTTTTGTTTACCCAAAATGTAACTTATGTCTTTATATGAAGTTGGATATATAAATATGTCCAACTTTGTCCATATATATACATACAGTATTTACTAGCGTAAGGTGATAAATACTACATACACTACCATTCAAAAGTTTGGGGTTGGTAATGTTTTTGAAAGACGTCTCATCTGCTCACCAAGGCTGCATTTATTGGATAAAAAATACAGTAAAAAAAAAAGCAATATTGTGAAATATTTTTTACAAATTAAAATAACTGTTTTCTATTGTAATTAGGGCTGTCAACTTTAGTTGTTTAGTCGACTAATCGGTCGATGCCGTCTTGGTCGACTGACATTCTTATTGGTCGACCAGTTGTATTTTTTTTTTTTTTTTTTTTTTTACCAATAGAAAGAAGTTTTCAATGATTTACTCCTTGCTATTTATTCCTTTATAAGCAGTTATATATTACTGTATTCTAAATATAATTAGCCTATGGTTTATCCCCAACTTTAAATGCTTTAATTTAGGCTATTTTGTAACAGCGCCACAGTTTAGCGCACACACATAGAACAGTCGGTTCGCACCTGTGGCTGGCTGCGCTGCTGCTTCGTGCTCAGTAAGGGATATAGGTAGTTTAGCTGTATTCATTCAGTTAGAACGCTACTTGTTTCGGTTTTTATACACTATATGTTTTTATCTCGATGCGGCGTGGACGCACTTGGAAAAAAAAGAGCGCGTCGCACGATGCACCGCGACCGCATTGCTTCCATCATGAGCGCGCACACCGCGCGCCTACATTTGAAATCGAACTTGAGCGCGCAAAAGACGTGAGCAGTCCCTTTAACGGCTTTATCATGCTGACTCAATAGATTATGTTTTCTTGATATGTTTTTGTTTTTATTTGTACACTTGATGCATTTGAAAATAGCCTAAATAATGTAACAAAACGAAAATAAACCTATATGCGGTCCTACAATACAGCCTTTTATTATTAGGATTGTTTTTTAGGCTCTTTGGGTTTTTTTGTCTGTTTGTTTTAAAACTCCTAGATCGGCTGGACAAAAGTTAACCCATAGCTTTGAAAGACAAGTAAAGAAGAATATACAGCCTGTAAACGAGAGCTTTTGTTAGGATTTTTCATTGTGGCAGATAGCAGTTATATTTTGTGTAGCGTGTGGTGTGGTCAGGTGCGCGATTGTGACTTAGCCTACTATAGACCTAGGACAGAGCTCCTAACTTTGCAGTTAAAAAAAAATCACTTAATTTTAAAAGAATTGTATTATTATTATAGTTTTATGTATTTTTGATGTTTTTTCGTTGTTGTTTTATAAATGCTATGACAATTGTTAAAAAATGTTCAATCAAAACATCGCGTCTTTTTTTTTTTTTTTTTTTGTCGACTAATCGTTGCGCAGGACAGGACTTTGGTCGACTAAGGATTTCTTTGGTTGACTACAGCCCTAATTGTAATATATATTTTAAATGGAATTTATTTCTGTAATGCAAAGCTGAATTTTCAGCATCATTACTCCAGTCTTCAGTGTCACAGGATCCTTCAGAAATCATTCTAATATGATGATTTGATGCTCAAGAAACATACTAACCCCCCCAAACCACACCCCCAAATCCTTCTTGTCGGTCATTGGCTGTAACACTGTTTGTTATGTTTCTTGGAGCGGGTTGGCCCAGTTTGTTTTTGTTGCCGTTTGTGGAGCCTGGAGTGTCTACAGAGACCGCGTTTTTTACAGTGTGTTCAGGGGACAGGCAGCTAGCGGATAGTGAGGAGATGTTTGCTGTATGTGACAAAAAATGTTTGGGCCTAAAAAACACATGACATTGCTTAGAGCACCTTTAAATAAATGCATCCTTGGTGAGCATAAGAAACTTCTTTCAAAAAAAAAAAAAAAAAAAAAACTTTTGACAGGTCCTAGTTTTTTTTTCTTGTCTTCAGAATACACAAAGATGTCAGGAAGACAGTGGATCTCTGTCAGAAGGTGGAGGCAGCAGGCGTCTCATGGATTACAGTTCACGGGCGTACATCCGACGAGAGGCACCAGCCTGTTCATTATGATGCCATCAAGACCATCAAGGATAGCCTTTCCATCCCAGTCATCGCTAATGGTGACATCAAGAGCTTGCAGGATGTGGAGGCCACCTACGCCCTCACAGGGGTGGATGGTGTGTGTCAGATTAACATCCTCTCCACATGGATGATCTTTATCTGATACCTGTATCTGATACCTTTGAATCTCTGCAGGTGTGATGGCTGCTCGGGGATTGCTGGCCAATCCTGCCATGTTCGCAGGGTACGAGGAGACCCCGCTGCAGTGTGTGTGGGACTGGGTGGACATCGCCGTGGAGCACGGGACCCCCTTCAGCTGTTTCCACCATCACCTGATTTACATGCTGGAACGCATCACCTCTCAGCCCGAGAGGAGGGTGTTCAATACTTTATCCAGTACGTCTGCAGTCATCGACTTCCTCCATAACACTTACGGCTCCACATAGTTGTTTTTAATGAATGTATTCTTTTATAAGTTAAAATAAAGGCGCAAATGAAGAACATCCTGAAAAGAATGCTGGTTTTCTGCATTAACTGCAACATGCTTTTAATAACAAAGCAGCAGAGGTGGAAAGTAACGAATTACATTTACTCGCGTTACTGTAAATGAGTAGTTTTTTGTGTACTTCTACTTTTTTAAGTAGTTTTTAAAATCTGTAATTTTACTTTTACTTAAAGGTGCTCTATGGAACTTTTAGCGGCCTCTAGTGGTGATGTTTCAGATTGCAACAAGAGCGCTCGTGCTCGTGCTCGTGTGCGTGTGCGATCTCAGGAGCGAGCATTCACTACCGGCCACACGGAGACTTTCAACGCAACGGCGAAAGCATCACACAACATGCTGGAAACTCATGTAAACTCCCACTGCAACGTTACAATAATAGGCTACTTTTATCAGCTTGACGTTGAACTAATGCTCCATGCTCGCACCATGATAACGTTACATTGACTGCATTTAGCCGACATGTGATGTTATCTAGCATAGCCTACGGCATTTCACTAACTATTCGTGTATCTTTCACAATCAACAATGTCAACATAGGTGAATGTATAATAATGATAACGAAAACGGTTAGTGAACTAGACTGAACAATGTCAGTGTAACAGTAAGATCGTAGGAAGTAACATTACTGTACTGAACGTGTCTGGAAATGTTTATTATAAACAATATGATAGTGGGATGAATTACGTTATAGCGTAACGATCTATAACGTAGATCTAGTACATAAAACAAGTATCCTAAAGCACCTTTTCTTATCCTGGAACAGTCTTTTGTATTCATTCCATGTCTCATGTAGTTTACCTTGCTATTTCATTTGAGTTTACTAATAATTCAAAAGCTCTGCCTATGTTGATCCGTGTTTTCGTCCTGAGTCGATCAGAATCACGTTTGGCCTGACGAGCTTCAGCAGATAAAACTTTGTTTTGTTTTTTATATTTATGTGGAGTTAGTGTTGTGCTGGAGGCAGGTCGTTTTTGGGTGTTATCAGACTCCATGTCGTCAGCTGCAGTTCCGTCGGTCGCATAGACTGTATATAAGGAGAGAGGCTCGGGAGCGCGCATGCACGTCACATCCGATGGATTTCGCGGTAAATCCGACCCGGAGACTTCACATATAAATATGAATATTGCCCTTCAGAGGTAATAGCAAAACCTGACAAGTGGATCATTGTGATGTGTGATTACAACCCCTTCACACACAGGCAATAAAAAAGGATTCATTTTAGAAGAAAAGTTCCATATAGCACCTTTAAGTATGTTTTGTTTGAAGTATTGTAATTCGCTACATTTTAAATCATATCCGTTACTGAGTAAAAAAATAATAATACTAAAAAATCAAATACTTTGGGTGAAAACATCGCACTCTGGAAACTAGAGCATTGATTGATTGAGGGGCGGGAGAGCAGACGTGCTAAAATCACAAACAAATATGGAGAAGTTGACGGACAAGACAGACGCCACTGATGCAGACCCAGCTGAACGAGAAATGCTGTCGAATTCTTCACACGCACACACATGTGAATCCCTGGCCAGTATGGGAATACTTTGGATATAGAAAAAATGTATATTTTCTGAGAAGGTTATGTAAACCTCTCATACCGTTACAACCCACCCCCGCTGTTAAACAAGTAACTCAGCAACTTTTACTCGGAGTAAATTTTAAATGAGCTACTTTTTATTTTTACTTGAGTAGATTTTTGACCGGTACTTTTACTTGTACTTAAGTAAAATTGTATTGAAGTAACAGTACTTTTACTTGAGTAGAATATTTTAGTACTTTTCCCCACTTCCTGAAAAGCAGAAGCAGTTCATTTTACATCTCCTATTTTTAAATCCACTATTGCCTTAGTGTAGGGCTCTTCAGTGCTGCTCCTGAAAGTTCACTGGCCTCCAACCCAAACACATCCGAAACACAAGCTATTGAATCAGAACCAGGAAGAGGTTTATTGCCAAGTATGTTTACTCACACAAGGAATTTGTCTTGGTGACAGGATCTTCCAGTGCAGAAGAAAAGTACAGAAATACATAGTTATTACACAAAAATAAAATATAACAAATTCAATAATATTATAGGAAAACAAAATGTAATGCAATATTGTACAGTAATAGAACTATATAATATATATATATATGTGTGTGTATATAATAGTTTTATGATTGTACAGATATGTTATTAACAGCTGAACAGTTTAAGATGTTATTTACAGATGTACAATTTTGAGATGCTATGTATAAATGGACAGTTATAATAGACGATGCATATGAGACTTTTAAACTGTTCACACTGAATAAAGCATGAGGGAAAAATAAAAAATAAAATAAATAGTAGAATGAAGAGAATCTGCCTGGTGGTTCAGTTGAGAAGAACATGATCTTGAGACCAGGCCAGTGTGGATATGGGTTCAAGTCTTGGATAGGGTGTGTTGTTTTTAGATAATGTTTATTGCCTGTTTCCGAACATCTTCCAATGCAAACAATTCTCTTCAATGCCACAGAGCTTGTTTCCAGTGTACATATTGGGAGTAATTTCAATGTACATGTATGAAGGCCACTGCATCTGTGGGATTTAAAAAAAGTAAAGTGCAGTTCTTCCTCCGCTCCTCAAGGCGGCAGAAGCGGGTTTCTCCTTCAGTCTGACGCTTCGGCTGCTTGACAACATGACGCTTGATGACAATCACAACAACACGTGCAGATCCTGCAGATGAGAAGATGACAGCTCTTAATGTCACTTTAACAGCGCATATTACAGCTCAACTGCAAATAAACCGACACACAGACGGATAAAATGACGGAACCGAGTAACGTTATGCCACAAGACTGACCTGTGAGTAGCTAACTTTTAGCATGAAGTCAATTGACTTGCACGCACTATATTGCAAAGCAATCGCTATTGTAGCGTTACATTTTTAATCTTTAAATGAATCGCCCTCTAATATTCACACTATAAAGTTTAATAGGAAGGACTCAGTTGATATATTGCAGTGTTTTCTGGATGTATGTTAGAGTCAGCAGGAGTTGTGTCTTGTGTGAAGCTCTGATGTTCTCCTGTTGCTTCATGCTTTTCTTCTTCTACTTCCTGTTATGACTGGGATCTGAGAGTAGAAAAACTGCCTTTAAAATATCATAATATTACTACAAGCATGAAACAATATAGTAAAGAGCAGTGACTAGACACTTTGGAATTGTCTTTCTTTGCATAGCATTTCTAATATTGTTCTGATATTTTGTAGGTCTGGCTTTCTTTGAATGGGGAGTTAGTTTTAGTTCTGTGTGTTCAGTGTTTTCATAATGGTATGGCCTGTAAGACAGTGATTAATAGCATCATGAGATTACTTTGTTTACAACCTCCACTCTTGTTGAACTCATTGTCAGATCTTTAGATTAACAAATCTGAATCGGTAGTTCTTGTTACATGTATAAGTTTCGGATGAATCGTCCTCTGATTTATGTGTAGTGAAGTAGAATAATAAGCAATCGTGGTTTTAGTCTCTGTTATTGTTAGTTGTCTTACTGTATGTAATAATCTAGTGGATTGATGCGTGTTAATAGAATCAGTGTGTGTGTGTGTGTGTGTGTGTGTGAAGTGTGTCTGCTGCTTCATTGTATTGTAGAGCTGCAGTGCTTTTCTTCTAATGAAAATTAATCCATGTGCAGGAACATGTCTTTTAGGATTACTGTTGTTTGAAGGAAGGTTTCATCTTAAAGTTATAACTCCACTTCGGCAGTTCTTTACAGTTTACATGTCATATACATCAAGCGTATATCAGTATATATTAATGCAATATGACATGTATATGACATCAATATATACTGATACATCATACATCAAGTGTCAGCGCTCACACTGAAGGGTGGAAAGAAGGCTTTATTTCTATTCAGTGTTCGTATCCTTTTAGCCTGTAAAACTGTAATTCAAATAATAGCATAATTTAAACTGAGAAGAAATCATTTTCATATACTTTGCAACATATTTTCACACAGCTTTAAGACGTGTTTTTTTTTTTGTAGTCAGTTTACATGTATTTAGACTTAAACTTAATTTGAATGTTTTAGATACACTGTATGAAGTAATGTTTGTGTGTATGTTTCCTCTACAGAATACAGGGTGTGTTTGGAGCGCCCAGTCATCAGAAGCAGAGCTGTGGGACGTGTAGACAGACATTCACTGTAATGATGGACTTCTGCTGACGGACGGGTGAGACTTGTAACGTGTGAATGTTGTTGTTTGGCACTAAACATGTAGGTTACCATCATTTTATTTTTGGAGGGTGACCCCTTTAAAAAGCAAATGATGGGAACCTAAATAGGCGGGGAAGGGACGGCAGGGCAAAATTTTGAGTCTGCTAAATTTTTCTTTTTGATTGCATCAAGAAGCATAACCCCTGATGGACATTGTAGTGGGGTTCGGGGGGGGACCCGACACGTCCCCATCCCCTTCACACATACAGCATTCACTCGTATCGTGGAGATCCGGCTGGGATCGAACCAGCAACCTCTGAAACCATGAGGCAGCGCTCTTACCTGTGAGCCACAGATCTCTTGCTGAGACATGTGCTGGAACTTATATTTCACTTTTGGAGCCCTGTGATTTTAACAATAAATCATGTTGAGGTGGGGATCAAACCCACGTGAACTCCAGTGCAACCCATCAGCCAAGAACGTGTGTTTAGCCACTGCACCACTCACACTGAGAGTTGGTGTTTTGGCCACTTTGTTTGATATAACAACTATTGATAACAATTTTATTTAAATTGTGGGGACAAATATCTGCAGTGGGATTTGAACCTTAACTTCAACACACCCTTACCTTCACAGAACATGTGTTTAGCCACTGCACCACTGTGGCTTTCACACTGAGAATTGGTGTTTTGGCCACTTTGAAATCACAACAATTTAACACAAGCAAGAGTGAGACTTGAACTCAAATCCGATGGGATTTGAACCCAGACTGTCATTTTACAAGGCAAATGATTATCCTCTGCACCACAGAAGTGTGATGAGGCATGGCTTGTTTTTGGGTCATGTGTGAATTTTTATTGTTAACAAAGGTAAATGATTTTCGTCTAGACATTTCTTAGACTTTTTCATTTTTTTTCTCCATCTTTTTTTTCCAAGCTATCAATTTTTGCAGGTTTTTAAATATGATTCACCTAATCATTTCTAGCATTATTTTGTGTTTATTTGTATGAAATAATTTCATTGTAAAAAAGGGGAGGAAAGGAAAATGTTCAATTTATCAACAAACAAAGTCAAAGATCAGTCATGCAATTAAACACATGAAACTTAAATATTGTAACAAATCTACAATCATAATTCTCACTGAGAACTTTATTAATTATTCAAATTCAAACTGATAAACACATAACATGTCATGTAAATGACCTTATTTGCTTATTCAACCGTTTTTATTTCATTTAGAAAGTCCATCACACCTGCCTGGAAGTTTCTAGTAACCCTGAAGACCTTGATGATCTGCTTCAGGTGTTTTTCATCAGGTTGGAGCTAAACTCAGGACAGTGGCTCATCCGGAGCAGATTAGACACAATTTTACTCTCTGTGCACCTGCTGCTATTTTAAATGTTAATGCAGAAACACTTATTATTGTCCACAAGAGGGAGAAGCTGACGCACTGATCACTCACTCATGTGCCTGACTGTTATATTCACCAGGAAATACAAATCACAAGTTTTAGTTGTTATAGCAGTGATTAGTTAATAGATTACATATGCATGTCAACTGTTATTTTGATACAGGCTTTTATCAAGTATATTAATCAAATAACCAATAAATGCACGAAGAGTGATCAATCCCTCCGACCAGCCAGTCGTGGCCAGCCACGGTTTAACCTGTGTTTAAAAAAGTGACATTTGTCTTTCTATATCTGTGTAGATCAGTTAGGCTGACTTTACAACCCCCTAACATATATATTCCCCTGCTCATTGTCGCCCTCCTCCATCCATATAAGAAGCCAGAGCTTCAGATAGAGACTCAGAGCAGGAGTGCATTGAGAACCGCTCAGTGTCAGACTCTCCTCAAGGAGGAGCCGGTGAATCATTTGATCTCCTGCTGTGATAACCAGTTACAAGATTCAACAGGAGACACCTTTAAAAACATTAACATTATGTTATGATAATATATGTCAGTTAACAGTCATTTTGATGCACATTAATTTACATAAACAAAAACAAATTCACATCTACTTTGCCCAACTAAAAGAGCTTTGGAAGATCTTTAGTCCTGTATTTTCTCTGTGTTTTCCTTTGAGCGTGTGCTTTTGAGCTCAACACAACAGTTTTACCACATCAGTTGAGAGCTGATCTGGTTCTTCTTCTAAAACTCATAGACCCGTGTTTCTCTGCTGGTCGAAGCCCTGACAAACCGATAAATTAGTTGTAAAATACATGAAATTAAATCTCAATCTCACCTTGGCTGGCCGCCTTGTTCGTTGACTCGTTTCATTTATTAATGTTGATACACTTGTTGACCACAAGAGGGAGCCTTTGGTAATTTGCCGTATACAATAAATGGGAAATTGCTTTAAAGTATGTATGAATTTTTTTTCCCTTTTTTTTATTATATATATATATCCATTGCCCAAATTCGATACAACTTTAAAACAGCTGGCATTATAATTCTAACACGATTTGTTTGTCAGAAACTGAAGTGCAGTTTTCCACCGCTCCTCTAGGCGGCGCAAGCGCCTTCACGTTCAGTCCATAGACTGGTTCAGTCCAGGTTCAGTCTGACACCTTCGGATGTTTGACGACATGACGTTTGTTTTGTTGCAACAACACGTGGAGTAGTAGACCGTTTTAAATACTTATTCTGAGGATGACAGCTCTATGACAGTGTTTTAATGCCACTAAACAGCACATATTTCAGCACATCAACAAATAAAACCGACACACGCTGCGATAAAGTGAAGGAATCGAGTGACAAGCGACTCCCCTGTAAGTAACTAACATACACAGTGCACTGCATGTCTCTTACATTATCCTTATTAAGTCCTTATTCTTTGGACTTGCACTTGTTATTTAGTTTTAGTTAAGTAATTAAGCATACGTCATTCTGGCTTGTGAGATGTTGTTGCAGGCCTCTGTGCGTTTATTCATGTTATGACAAATTCAATGTGTTGTTATTTATGAGTTTCCACGCGATCACTAAACTCAGATTTGCAGATAACCCGATGCTGTCTTTTACCTCAAACCTTGTTTTAAAAGCTGCTCGCTGAATGACAGTTAGTCATGAATGAAGCAGAAATTAAGCAAAGTTTAACACAGACTTTGTTTACATGCTGTTCTCTTGCTGAACTCACTTACAGCTTTAGAAGAAGAAATTAATTGTTGCTTTAACTTTATAAGTCTTCAAATAATCACCTGCTGATGTTCATATTATAAAATAGATCTTTGATGTTCCTGCTGTTTGTTGCTGTGTGCAATATATGTAAATATGTCTATTAGACAGTGTTAACATACATGTTTATCAACTATAATTTAGACTAACATTACAATTCTGTTATTTAAAACTTAGATATACTATATGAAGCAATATATATATATATATATATATATATGTCTATTACGCAGTGTTAACAAACATTTTTATCAACTACAATTTAGACTTGTCTATTACGCAGTGTTAACATACATGTTTATCAACTATAATTTAGACTAACATTAAAATTATGTTATTTAAAACTTATAAATGATATACTATATGAAGTAATAACTGTGTGTATGTTTCCTCTACAGAATACTAATACGCTGTTGGGAGCATCCAGTCATCAGAAGCAGAGCTGTGGGACGTGTGGACAGACATTGACTGTAATGATGGACTTCTGCTGATGGACGGGTGAGACTTGTAACGTGTGAATGTTGTTGTTTGGCACTGAACATGTAGGTTACCATCATTTTCTTTTTGGAGGGTGACCCCTTTAAAAAGTAAATGATGGGAACCTAAATAGGTGGGGAAGGTACAGCAGGGCAAAGTTTTGAGTCTGCTAAATTTTTCTTTTTGATTGCATCAAGAAGCATAACCCCTGCTGGACATCGTGGTGGGGTTCGGGGGGGACCCGACACGTCCCCATCCCCTTCACACATACAGCATTCACTCGTATCGCAGAGATCTGACTGGGATTGAACCAGCAACCTCTGAACCCGTGAGGCAGCGCTCTTACCTGTGAGCCACAGATCTCTTGCTGAGACATGTGCTGGAACTTATATTTCACTTTTGGAGCCCTGTGATTTTGACAATAAATCATGCTGGGATGGGGACCGAACCCACATGAACTCCAGTGCAACCCATCAGCCGAGCATGTGTGTTTAGCCACTGCGGCTTTCACACTGAGAGCTGGTGTTTTGGCCACTTTGTTTGAAATAATCACAACAATTTAACACAAGCAAGGGTGAGACTTGAACTGAATACTCCTTGATTAAAGCCCAACGCTTTATCAACTAAGCCACTGAGTCTGCTCTGTAGAATTGGCAGTGTGAAAGAGGATTTATTGTAAGCTTGTAAATTATGAAAAACATTCACAACTGTGGGAATTGAACCCAGTCTTTAATGTGTGATAGGCAAGTGATCAGCCACTGAGCCACATACTTTGTGAAATTTATCATCACCAGTAATGAGTTTAAACTCAAATCTCCATGATTGAAAGACAAAGTGTTATCTCCTATGCCACTGAGTCTGGGGTGTGTTGTTTGATGGGTTTTATTGAGCTTTGTTTTATATGGTAAAAATAGTGTGGGATTTGAAGTTGAACCAAACCATAAGACAAGAGTTTATCCTCTGAGTGCCAGACCAGCACATACTGCATTTTACTGTTCTGTAGTGCAGTATTTGTTCCCCACATTTTGGCATGTTAAAGAAAATGAGTCATCTAATCATTTCTATAAAATGATCTGTGTTTGATTGTTTAAAATAACATCTGATGTATATTACTTTTCTTTATAGATCACAGATGAGAAAGCAATGGTGGACAATCAAGACATGACTGGCCTCGATCCGATTGGGTCTACATTCTTAAAAGCAATTTAGCCATTACCTTCTCTACTACAGAATTTGCTCTTTGTTGTCAGTATAAACACTATTCTCACATTGGAACTAAATATACTGATCTCTTTATGCAGATAAAGATAATACTAGCATGTACTTCAAGCCAAAGGTGGACTTAAAACTTATGAATAAAAAATGACAAATCACCCAATTCGATTCATTCATTTATTATTAGTTTCTTTGTTTCAGAAAGTGGTAAGCACAGTGCTGGTTATGACATCACAAATCATTCATTAGGCACAGTATTATTTACATTTACAAGGTTGAACATACATGTGAACCGCTACTACAATTAACAATGTCCAAAAATAATTTTAAAGCAACACCAAGTAACTTTTCCTCTGCGGTCGCCCTACAGGTTGGAAGTGGAATTGTCCATTACCGCTGTCGTAAATAATTTAGCCTAGCGCATCCTACTGTCGCACACACGCTCGCTGTTTATCCAGGAATGAACGATGTCCACAGACAAGGTAGAGTATGTTGCATGATTTCATGAAAGTATGATGTATTGCGACATCAGAAACGAAGAAAAACTAAATAATGACTATTGTAACGCTAGACGTAAAGCAAGTCAAATTTGTAGTTTTCTTATGTCTCATTAGAACTACAGAAACTCGACCCGATCTGGCAATCTTACATAGCGTGGTTATAGCAGATATAGGACCGCAAAGCGAATCCAGAAGTGCCTTTCACCCTGTTACGACTTAATGAACCTCTGCAACGATTTTGGAAACATTATTTTAAGGTAAAAAAATCTTACTTAGTGTTGCTTTAATTGTGGTGGGAATCAGTGGCGTGCACGACCTGTGATTGACAGTCAGATCTCACACAGCCCTGCGCTGACTGGACCAGAAGAACTGCGAGCGGTGGATTTTTGCTAAACAAATCAGACGCTCCAGGTGGAGGTAGAAGCGCCGTGGTTTTTTTCTTCTAAAAATGGGGGATTTATGTTGTTCTGTCGGAGCATAGTGTCAGTTTTAGTAAATATTCTCAAAAAAATGTTGCCGACTTTACAGCTTTAAGTTTGGTGCACGGCCACGAAAGTAATATGCATTGGCGATGATGTCAATTTGAAATGGCCTTTGCTGTCTATGGAAATGGCAAGTGTTTGGTCTAAGAAGCGTAACTGATGGCAAGCACAGGCTTTATTTATAGCTGATGTGACACTATTTGGGCGCCCTTGCCGACAATCAAAAAAAGCAAAGGCACTTTGTAGTAGTACTACGCTATTATATTTAGCATTCATACCATGAATGAACTTTGCTTTCGGAAAGGAGCTGCCAGTTATGTGAAAGTACAACTGTAACGTTAAACAAAGCCGACATTACCCGACAAAGTTACTTACTGGTGAATAGCCTGACACTCGATTCCCGCATTTTATCGGACTGAGTGTCGGTTTATTTGCTGAAATATGTCCAGTTGTATGATATTAATAGTTGTCATCTGCACATGTTGTAGCGTCTGTCAAGCGTCGCCAAGGATCCAAAGGAGTCGCTCTGACAGTGAAGCCCGCTCACGCCGCCTAGTGGAGCGGATGAAAACTGAGCTTCGGTTTCTGTTATTCTATTAATTCTAATAAATGAATGTGTCATGATGTCATGTTGCAGATAGATAGAAACACGTGTTTTCCTGAAAATGCAGCAGTATGTGAAATGTTCTCCAGTTTTCCACCAACAGACTCATGAGGGGATCTTCCTCTGTGTCACTGATGAGGAGGAGGTGAATCTCAGAGATCATTGTGTCTCATTCTTGTGGACAATAAGTGTATCTGGAGTCACTAAACAACCGAAGACGACACGATTAAATTGGTTCTCCTTGTATGTTTGTCTTTTGAAAATCAGCAGTAGTTGTAGCTATAAGTTTAAAGTCACTAGTCTGGATACACACACACACACGTATTTCACCGTTAACCTGAGAGTTTCCAATAAAGCAGTTACCGTAAGATTTGATACCAAGTTTTAATCACAGTCTAGTCCTCAGAGAGTGTGTGTTTATCCACTCGCCCATCATGGATTTCACCGCGACAGCTGTTTTTTTGGGTTCCTCGTCTAATGAGAACTATTGAAAGTCAGCAATAGTGAGATTTGAACTCAAGATGCTGTGAACGAAACACAACTCTTTCTCTCCTGAGCCATTGAGACTGCTGAGATGATGATCGCTTTCAATAGGTTTTATCCAGAGCTTTGTGTTAAATGGTGAACAACTTAAACTTGTTGGGTTTGAACCAGGACATTCAGGTTTGAAAGGGAGACAACTATCCACTGATGCAAAGATTATGTTTTTAAGGTCATTTAGATTTGATCTTATCTTAGTTTGAGGAAAAGATGTTCATCATGTCTGTGGGATTTGATCACATGTCTCTGTTGCAGTGTTGTGATTCAAAGGCACTTATTTACCCATTACTCCACTAAGTTTCTGATAACAAATGTGCTTTATTATGTCTTTATCTTGTTTGTAGGCCTAGTGTAAAAGCAGTGGAAAAAAGTTTTAGCAAACACTGATCCGCTCTACCACAGAGACTGTGTTGAACTCAGGGCTGGTTCGGTCTTTTGCATTAGATTTGATTACTTTTTTGTTTGTTTTTTTCAAACCCCAAGATGTAGAACTTTCTGTCATTGTTGAAAAATACTCAGTTACAATACTTAATGTTCACTGACATTGCAAGGATTTGTAATTATACTCCACTTGTATTATCTGACTAAACAAAAATTTCTGTTTAAACTGTGCTATTCTTTATGAAAAACTTCTGATTTGTTAAACAGCTTTTTTTGTCAAGTACAGTTTATATCCAAGCTTGTTATTGCGTTCTTCTGTGGTGATTTTACACCGCTGCAAATTGAGTCTAATGAACATAAAACTGTTTCGCCCTCCTGTGGAAATTTGAGTGAATTACACCGTCTAATAAGAGCGAGTGTAAATCGTGGAAATGCGCTACACTTCTGTAAGAGGGTGAGAGCAGAAAAACATAAGAACTTCAAAACAGAACAATTTACACTGTCTATGTTCCGTCCTGTCTTCTGTTCAAAATTCAAATAAATATATTTGCAAATAAAAACACCAAAACAAATTAAGTCCAATGAATTTAAATGTGTTGCGCCCTCTTGAGGTGATTTTACTGAATTACACTGTTGCAAATCGAGTCTAATAAACAGTGTGGTCGCCCTCCTGTGGTGATTTGTGTGAATTACACCGTTGCAAACCGAGTCTAATAAACATAAGTGTATAAATCAATTATAATAAACATAAAAGTGTTTCGCCCTCCTGTGGTGATTTGTGTGAATTACACCGTTGCAAACCGAGTCTAATAAACATAAGTGTATAAATCAATTATAATAAACATAAAAGTGTTTCGCCCTCCTGTGGTGATTTGTGTGAATTACACCGCTGCAAATCATTTATAATATCACCTGTGAATTACACCGTTGCAAATCAATTATAATATCACACAAATCACCTGTGGTGATTTGTGTGAATTACACCGTTGCAAATCGAGTCTAATAAACATAAAAGTGTTTCGCCCTCCTGTGGTGATTTGTGTGAATTACACCGTTGCAAATCGAGTCTAATGAACATAAAAGTGTTTCGCCCTCCTGTGGTGATTTGTGTGAATTACACCGTTACAAATCAATTATAATAAACATAAAAGTGTTTCGCCCTCCTGTGGTGATTTGTGTGAATTACACCGCTGCAAATCGAGTCTAATAAACACAAAAGTGTTTCGCCCTCCTGTGGTGATTTGTGTGAATTACACCGTTGCAAATCGAGTCTAATAAACATAAAAGTGTTTCGCCCTCCTGTGGTGATTTGAGTGAATTACACCGTTACAAATCGAGTCTAATAAACATAAAAGTGTTTCGCCCTCCTGTGGTGATTTGTGTGAATTACACCGTTACAAATCGAGTCTAATAAACATAAAAGTGTTTCGCCCTCCTGTGGTGATTTGAGTGAATTACACCGTTGCAAATCGAGTCTAATAAACATAAAAGTGTTTCGCCCTCCTGTGGTGATTTGTGTGAATTACACCGTTGCAAATCGAGTCTAATGAACATAAAAGTGTTTCGCCCTCCTGTGGTGATTTGTGTGAATTACACCGTTACAAATCAATTATAATAAACATAAAAGTGTTTCGCCCTCCTGTGGTGATTTGTGTGAATTACACCGCTGCAAATCGAGTCTAATAAACACAAAAGTGTTTCGCCCTCCTGTGGTGATTTGTGTGAATTACACCGTTGCAAATCGAGTCTAATAAACATAAAAGTGTTTCGCCCTCCTGTGGTGATTTGAGTGAATTACACCGTTACAAATCGAGTCTAATAAACATAAAAGTGTTTCGCCCTCCTGTGGTGATTTGTGTGAATTACACCGTTACAAATCGAGTCTAATAAACATAAAAGTGTTTCGCCCTCCTGTGGTGATTTGAGTGAATTACACCGTTACAAATCGAGTCTAATAAACATAAAAGTGTTTCGCCCTCCTGTGGTGATTTGTGTGAATTACACCGTTGCAAATCGAGTCTAATAAACATAAAAGTGTTTCGCCCTCCTGTGGTGATTTGTGTGAATTACACCGTTGCAAATCAATTATAATAAACATAAAAGTGTTGCGCCCTCCTGTGGTGATTTGTGTGAATTACACCGTTGCAAACCGAGTCTAATAAACAGTGTGTTCGCCCTCCTGTGGTGATGTGTGTGAATTACACCGTTGCAAATCGAGTCTAATAAAACAATAAATGTCTTACATCGAGTCTAATAAACATAAAAGTGTTTCGCCCTCCTGTGGTGATTTTCGTGAATGTAAAACAAATCTTATCTGAAATCTAATAATTTAACATCTGTGGAAAGACTAAATAAAATAATTATCAGATTCATTTTCACTCCTCACTCAAAATTCACAAAATAAGTTTTCATTATAGTTATTCATCATCATCTTCATCATCATTTCCCCATGCATGATTGTTTTCTGTTATTTTTGCCCATTTCTGTATTTTATGAGTAATTATACAATTATATTATAATTATTTTTGTTTAGAAACATTTTTGTCTGTTTAATCCTATGGTTTAATCACCGACAAGAGCTCGTGCGCGATGTAAAGCGCGCGCTTTAATGACGTCACTGGAGTGAGACAGCAGTGCAGCTGTGTTTGTCCGCTGTTAGTTTAGTTTTCCTGTATTGTGGCGTTCGTCTGAAATTTCCCTGAAGATATTCTTTATACGTAGGTGAGATGCAAAACAGATCGATTTTCTACTTCTGTGGGTGGTGTCATGTTTTAAATGATTTCTGTTTCTGCTTTTGAGTTTTGAGTCTTGCTGAATGTTCATTTCCTGTTCGATCAGAGATCGTATATTTACATGATTTAATATGCACTATAACACTTAAGCATTTGAACTACATATACATAATTATATAATCTGCAGTGCGGTCTACTAACTGCACTATACTGAGATATTATTATTATCATCTATAATGTTCTGTGACTGTGTATGTAAAAACATGAGACGTATGCTTCCTGGTATTGAGTCAAACACAGTGTCAAAGTGTGTAAGTGGAAGAGACAGGAGGAATGTCATTGAACAAGGCCTTTGATCCGACCATAATGCCATAAGTAGATTAACTGAGATTAATAACAGCCTTGATTAGTAAGGAATTGTGCATTTGTTTTTTCAGTGTTTGATAATCTGGTACAGCATTTTCTAAACATACATGCATGTATCAATAAAATACTCTTTAAATTTCTTTATTACTTTTTTTGTCATGCAGCTGAAATAAAATGACGTTGCAGTGGACTGCGGTCGCTTCCTTCCTGTACGTGGAAATTGGTGTTCTTGTCATCTTCTGTCTACCTTTCGTCTCTCCGCAAAGGTAACATGTTCCAGAGCCATGAGCCCGTCTAAACAATTTGTATGTTTGCCGTTGTCCACTTGCTCTTACTGATGTCCACGTTTGCAGATGGCAGAGGATTTTCAAATGGAGCATCTGGAACCGTCTTTCCCAGTTCTGGAACAAGGGCTTTCTCACCATGATAGTAATCCTCATTGTTCTCTTTCTTGGTATGTCATGTTCTGTTTTTAATGCCATGATGTCTTAAAGTGAGATTAGAAATGACCCAAGTTAACCCATCCGTGCTGTAATCTGCCGCAGACGCCCTGCGTGAGGTGAGGAAGTACTCGAACGCTGACCAGACCAAAGATGCCAAACTGCACCCCAACATGTTTGACCACATGCACATGAAGCTCTTCCGAGCCCAGAGGAACCTCTACATCTCTGGCTTCTCGCTCTTCCTGTGGCTGTACGCGATCTTACACGTATGACATCGACCGCTGGCTGCTTTTGTCTTGTGATGTTGACCTTATATTGGTGCTCTTTCTCGCAGTGTCATGAGGAGAGTCATCACTCTGATTAACCAGTTGGCCGTGGCCCTCGGCACCAGTGCTGCTCTGCAGACTCAGGCTGAAAGCGCCAACAAAGCTGCCAAGAAATACATGGAGGACAATGAGATGCTCAAACAGGTTTAAAGCCTTTACCTCATTTTGTGTTCCCGGTCTGATTAGGCTATATTATCACCAAATATTGGGTGCGATCTTTTTGTCAACTTGGTTTTCTTTCAGTTAGCACAAGATTTGTATTTCCTTTTGAAACTGATTGATCGTAAACCTCATTGATCTGAGCTTATGCACCTCCGGCCCTGTTTACACCTGGTATTAAGATGTGTTTTCATCAATCCGATCACAAGTGGACGACACTAAATGCAGGTGTAAGCGGGGTCTTAAACGTTTTGAGCTTGTCCACTTTCTATCACATTCAGAGCTTGTCGAAAACACATTTTGAGAGTTCTGGAAAACAGACATATTTACAAAGAGGTACTTGAAAAGTGCTTGACTTATTTAAATACAATATATGAACTTTTTTTTTGTTGAAAAAACAAAAATACAATCTTTTCACGCAAAATTGAGACTGCAGCCTGTCTGATAAACCCCCATCAGACCTTTTCTCGATACGAAGTACGCCAACATTATAATATAAAATATTGTTTAGATGTTATTATATTTTAATATTATTTGAGCAATAACCATTATAAACTTTGTATTTGATATATATTATTAAATGCGTTGCAAGTTGTATTTTGGATACCTTATATCTGTAATTTGAGTTTAAAAAAATACTAAAGATATTGTTTGATAAGTGTGATCTCTGATTGTAGTCCTTGAAAACCAAAAAAGTAGTGCTAGAAAGTCCTGTAATTTCTTTGTGCAGTATCTGTAAGACCCTGGACTTGGACATGTTTATTCATGCTCATGAGGAGGAATTAAATCAATGAGAAATCCTTCTAAAAGACCCTTGAGTAACAGAAGGACAAACCATTGTCTTCCTCAGGCACTGGTGGATCCTAAAGGAGAAGGAGGGAAGAAACAAGATACAGAAGAGAACAAACTCCTGAAGAAAGAGGTGCAGAGACTGACAGAGGAGCTTCAGAGCAGAACAGATGGTGAGCACAGACACTCAACACTGATCCTAGATTACACTAGCTACTTTCACATGGACACCTTTTGGTTCAATCGGAATTAAATCAATCCGATTGATGAATCCGAACACAGTGTTTACATGAACGATAAATAACGGGTTGATGTGCGTGTTGTTTATATGTCACAAGCTTCAAATCGGAATTGATTTTTCGACATGCACGGATATACCGCCGCTGTTCACGCATAACCATTCTCCTCTATTGGTTCTTTATTAGTTGTTCCTCTTTGTCGCCATCTCTGTTTGAAATCTGCAATTGCAGTCATTCGCGGAATTATCAACTTTACGTGAGTTGTAGTTCAACACCCTCGACACGGCACAGCGCGGATGAACAGAATGTTGGAGGAGACTGAGGCTGTCAGTCGCCGCCGGTGTGGATACTGGCATCCAGAATCACAGATTATTCTTTTTGGAAGTATGACCAACATAATAATTTTCACTGGAAAATGTAATCTGAACTAGTAAGAAACATCCACTTTTGTTCTGGTTCTGACATTGCAGTAAATCGCGCTGATTAAATCTAAAAATCGCTTATCTTATCACACAAAACCGTGCAAATTATACTTTCTCAAATTGTTAATGTTAACAACGTCAGGATTGCGTGACTACATGTAATGTCCTTCCGATATTATCCTTGTTTTCGCATGGGTCCGGTTGCAGTCTCTTTTTTTCTGTAGCCACTCGAAGTCCGAACGAAGTTTTTTGCATTTTACAGCGGGTGAATCTGTTGTCACTGGTGATTGTCGTTTGAACCTTTCTGGATCCGCCATCAAATTGATAAGTTTAATTATATCAAGTGCTGTGAGAAAAGGCTATAAATCTCCACCTCCAGCATCATCACATGCAATATAGCCTACTAGCCGAGACTCCTCCTTTATGTGTACAGATGTGTGTGTACAGATGTGTGTGTGTACAGATGTGACGTAATGACGCAAAGACATGCTCGAATCTCCCGCGGAAATCCACCAGTACCACTGGAATTAAAAACATTATTACAAGCTTACCGCTTTGAATCGAGCTAAGGCAAGCAGAGAGTTTTTAACACTGGCTGGTTATGTATTTTTTCAAATATGTATTTTGGATAATTTTTAACCCAAAAAAAGCTACGGACTGCAGCTTTAAACAGCAGACTCAATATTTATCCGTCTCTGGTCATGATTTGGAGACAATGAGCATACGGACCGTTTTGTTTATATTTATCACGCAGTAAAACCCCGCGCCCAAAGTTTGCAGGTCAGTTTCTGTTTTCAATCCGATCAAGCGTTTACATGTTCTCTCGATCGGATTACAAAAGGAATAAACCACCGCTTTCAATCCGATCGAAATTCCAATCGGATCGATTAAGGTGTTTACATGAAGGTTTTTTTAGTCCGATTGAGCCGTCAATCCGATTATAAGGGTCCATGTAAACGCAGCTACTTACAATCAATTGAATCATCTGAAAAACATCAGCTCTATCAGTTACAGCTGTGTGCTTTTCTGTAGCTCTGAAAAAGTCCAAGTCGGATTTAGATGCCATGAAGAAACAAACTGAAGGACTAACCAAAGAATACGACCGTCTCCTTCAAGAGCACCAGGAGCTTCAGGTAAGACCAACCGTATGATATTATACAAGCAGACATTAACTAAAACCATAAATATATGGATTTAGTTACTTACATTTTATTTTACTGAGTCCTTGATACATATGTTAGATGTACCAGTAAATTATGCATAATTACATGCAACTAACCCTAAGCCAAACCCTATAAGTATACATTGATAGTTACCTAAATGTATAATTGCACTGTAACACAGATTCCTTAGAATAAAGTGTAACCAAGTATTCATTACTTGACGTAAACTAATAAAATAAAATAAACTTTTTCAGATAGTTGCCAATGCAACACTCATTTTCATTTAGTTTAACCTCAGTCATTTCATTTACTTCTAAAAGTACTAAAATAACCTTAAAAATGAATATTAAAAAAGTAAGTCAAAAACACAATAAAATTACTAAAACTTTACAATTAAAATGAAAACAAAAAATAAAAACAATCATTCAAAATATTGACACACTATAACAGAATCTTGATACTAAGATACAAATGCAAAGTAGTATTGGCAGATATTTTAAATCTATATTGTTTTGCATGTTTTAAACAACAATACTGTATGAATACTTCCATGCTTCAACCTTCAAAATATTCAAATGAACAGTAGATGAGTACCAGTTTAGTAATTTATAAAATCAGACAAATAATTTATAAATGACACTATATGTGATGTGATCAGGGGAAAACACACCACATGGTGAAATTTGACCTATTACAGGTTTTGATACCATATGAAAGCTGTATCAAATCTGTTTTTATTTTTTTCATAGCTTGTTGTTAGCAAAAGTTATGTTTATCTGAAGTTGGCTGATCGCTATGATTTCCAGGAACGGAATTTTGAGAAAAAACGGGTTTAATTAACTGTCACCGTCCCGCTAGCGAGATGCTTGGTACTCTTTTTTTTTTTTTTTTTATTGCCTTTTTTTCATATCACATATTTTATGTGTATAAATAATAGACTATGTCCATTATGACATAATTTAGGGCACTGACATCCCCAGGAATTAGCAGATTGAGGCGAGCAAGATCATGATTTAAGTGAGCAGCTGTTTCAGACTCCGTTGTTCTCGTTCTCCATCTCGAGATAACGTTATAAAACTGTGTCGTTCCAGTTTAAACAGGATTGGCATGAAATGCGCACTCATACACCTTCACTGTACACGGACAGGTATGGGCGATTTTTTTGCCGGGCGTTAAGAGAAATGGTCGCATCAGAGAGTATTTTCAGCTTGCCACTATAAATCGCTATTTTTCTGCACTAAACAAGGGAATTTTGCCAAGATATTTTCAGAGATAAGAGACCAGCTGTTATAGAAAAATAATGTAATGACATCTATTTTTTGATCTTCCTGAAAACGGCCCAGCGCGACATCTGGCGGGTTTTCCCAGATCGCATCACATATAGTCTCACCAAAATTGTGTGCATCCTGACAAAATAGTTATTTGTGCTATTTGACATGACAAAGAACAATACAAAATCCTTGTTAACAACTTTCCTTTGTCTCTTTTCTAGAATCAGCCGGACAATGGAGACAAAAAGGATAACTAGGCAAGTTGACACAAAGGAAACCTGTATGATAATCACTCACCTGGTAGCATGACATCACATCCTGTCAGGTTACCTGCTCACCACACATTTGTAGTAGCGGTTTGGCTTTGATACACATCTCTATTGTTTTGATGTTCTGGCTGATGCGGGGCAGTGCTGTTTTTTAAGATCGTCTCCAAAAAACTGTATCCGCACACTCGTTTTATTGAGGTTATTTAGTGAATAAGCCATATTAGACTGATGTTTGCATGTTGAAATGCTTTACCTCATGTTGCTTTCATTCTCCTCTGCTTGATTCTCTCCCTCGTTTCATTTGAAAGTGCATATTGATCCAGGCTGTCGTGCAACATCCAGAAACTTCCCACAAACAAACTTGCAAACATGAGTCATAGTAGCTGTAATATTAGGAATGCTTCCTGAAGTGCTTTTCAAACATATTTTCACAGCAATATCGCCAACAGAAACAAGTCCGTTGACACAATCCATCAGGTTGCAAGTGGAACATACATTAGAGGCTGCATTAGTCATTTAAATCAACTTTAATTAAGAAGAATAAAACCGTATACACATAAACAACAGAAATAATAAGTAAACGCGTCACAGTGAGACCATTTCCGGGCAGAGCAAACAGTCTGGTAGTGAGCGGTTAGTGTGTTTGTTCTGGAGTCTGGAGAGGTAGGTCAGTTACACCTGAGTTCAGTCACTGTTAGTTGTTAAACAAATGCAGACACCACAGAAAAGAGATATCCATCATTTTGAGAAATTTGAGGTAGCTGTTTCTGTGCTATTGATACAATTAAATCTCACAAAACATGTCTAGGTCATATTTCACCACAAATTTAAACCATTAAAAAAAAAAAAACATTTTAATTATGTCTCAATTAAGCACATTTTCCCTTCAGTTAAGTAAAAGATTATGTAATACATTGATTTGTGATTGCAGAATCTAATAAAAACAAATGCCCAGATGCATTAAAGTAATTAGAATTAATTTCTTCATGCAAAATCTAACTTGCAATTTTGATTTTAGGAGTAAATCTGAACTGGACATGTTTTTGTGGTTTACTCTGTTTTTGATGAAGTCTGAATATTTTATTTAATCGTTCGCCTATTCTAGTCGCAGAACAACAACCAACATTTTACAATGAAAACATTTAGACTTATGGGACTGAAAATTACTCTGCGCTGTGAGGCATTCAAAAAAGCGAAATCTGTCGTCTAAATATTGTAATGTGATTTATTTTATTTACTAAGAATAAGCAGTCACCCACCGTGTGGGTGTTCGAAACCATGCTGTCGATGCACCGTTTATGATGCACAAATCTTCCTCTCCCTCGCCTGTGTGTCTGATGCGATCCTGAGGAGACAGGAACATTAGGAGAATACCTAAAATTGCTATGCAACTCTTTGATTAGAAATGTTATTTCTAGATTGTATGGTTGGCCGATTGCTGACTTGGTTTGAAATGTCTTAAAAGGGGGATTGTTTATGCCTTTACTGTAACGGTATCTTCCTGTCAAATGTGGTCAAATATAGCTTTTTTAATAATATTGTAATATTCTTCTAATGGGTGCAAAATCACCAGCTTAAGTGCCTCAGTGAGTTTACATTTTGCTGTGATTGTATTTTCACGATTAAAGTGAAGAACGGTACTGTTGTCATTGATGATTGTGGATCTTTCTTTTTAGTAAATCATTTTATTTTGAAAAGAATGTATCTAATCTTTCACATAAATGCATTTTTTGTTTTTGTTTACACATTATCAGGATATTCACTTTTAAGTATACAAAAACATCAGCAAATAAAATGATGTACTGCCTAACGTAAAAGCAAGTAATAAATGCCACTCGTTTTATTTGCCTTACAAGTCGTCACAAATAAAAATCCTTTCCTTGGTTGTGGACAAAGGAACATTTTCTCCAGCTGAAACCAGACAACGATTTATACAAGTATATAAAAGAATAATTATTTGCAAATTTGAGGAACAATTGATTGAACAACCTGAGAATAGACCATGTTGACCTTTTCTTTCTCGCGCTTTTTGTGGGTTTTTTTTTTGGCACCCGTTCACACGTAACAACACGCACGCACAACATTCAACATTTCTCACAGTGACATTGCACAACATCGATCATGAAGATGATTACTTGCATACCCATGGTGTCACACACCTGTTTGCAAGCCCACAGTTCTGGACCGTTCCTCACGTGTTTGTTGAATGGGAGGAACTGCTGTCAGGTGACATGTAAAAGCACAATGGTGAGCGTTTCGTTAACGGCACGCTCCCTTCCTGACAATACGTTACAAACAAATGAGATGCAATTTGACATCCACCAACATACTCAACCTATAGCCTGCATGGCAAAGCCTATCTATATTACACACACAGTGTTGTGGTCAACTGTTTCAGGCATCTATCTGTGTGTATGGCAGAAGAGAAAGTTACAAGCAGACGTGGTCATGTACCCGATGATGGCTTAAATGAGAGGAAATCCAATGTTTCGTTTCCTCTAGTAGGCCGTCTGACGTTAAGATACTTCTAAAAGCATCTTTGCGTTAAATCCAAACAGGTTTGGTAGTAAAGACATTCTTCTTTTTTTTAAAACCCAAAACAGCATGTACATTCAAAAAATAGTTCTACTATATCAAAACAACAGATTTTTTTCTTACTTCACATCATTTACATGGGTCCAATAGAAAGTGTAACTCGTATAAACAGGCCCTGTTGCTCCCTGCGCTGGCGAGTACGTTGTGCGTCACAGACGCGTCTCCCGTTCTGGGTCGTAATCTGTGGTTCGCGGGCATTGGTCCAAGTTACCGCTGTTGTTTTCTTCTTTCCTGAGAGCCTGCAGTTCTCCGGCCGCGGCCCCCGTGTCTCCGTTTGCGAGTGTGTTGCGCTCTTGCTTCTGGACGTGCCGTCGTAACACCACCAGCCCAAGCACACACAGGAAGAAGGAAGCTGTCCGTAAGCCCAGCGTCAAGCCCAGATATGCTATCCTGAGCGATGAACAGACAAAACACAGGATAATCACATGACCACAATTACACGCATGATCTCTAAAAGTGATGTCCGGAGGGGACTTTTTTTGTTTTTAATGACCCAGTTTGATCCATCAAAATATGAGGAAAATATGAGATTTTTTTAAAATATTTTAAACAAAACACTAAACTTGGTTAAGGTACACTGTAAAAAATATCCTGTAAAATTTGCGCTCTGGCTGCAGTGATTGCCAGAGATTCACCGTAAAAATACTGTGACAATGTTTCCAGTTTTATAGGATGCCTGTGTGTAATACCCACATATTTCATGAAGTGATACAATGTTAATATATCTACACTGTAAAAATGTTTTTGTAATTTTAATAAGAAAAATATTGTAATGCTACATTAAAAACATTAGTTAAAGTTAGTTCATATACGTTGAAAAACTGTAAATGTTTTAACATCACATTGCATGTAATTTGAGTAAAAACCAGGGGCATCACTAGGATTTTCATTTTAGGGGGGCTAAGCCCACAATATGTCTTTTTAAAAAAATTTATAAAAAAAGGTAACACTTTAGTTTAGGATCTAAAGCTCACTATTAACCATTTTCATTACCATGCAAAGGCACGGTTTTATAATAACTGTGGTCCCAAATGTGAGGTAGGGCAAATTCTCCCCGAGAAAATTTTGGTTTCTCTGATCTACATATGTGCATTTTAAGATGTTCTGAAGGCCAACAAACTTGGATAGTGGGCAACTGATTATTTTTCTCTCCTCATCAGCATCACACTCTTTTTCTCTTTGTTTTTCTCTTGCCCAGCTGAGCTTTGACTGATATAGGCTTTTCATTTTTGTCTGTCAGTGAAGAAAGTAAACATAGGGTCAACTGATAGGTTGACATAACCATGTCAGTAGGCAGATTATTTGTCAATACCTGCTCTCTTCTCATCTCCATCACTCTTTCTTTTTTTCTCAGTCTCATCCCTTTCTCTTCCCCTCCTAAAGCTGAGCTTTTTTTAATTTACTAAAGGCTACAATTTGTATTCTCAATATGTACACATTCATTATTAATCTTGTGCCTAACATGATGAAAACGGCTTTGTTAATGTTTCTTGTTAACTAATTATTACATTACATGAGTCACGTTACATAGGCCTATTTTCAGTTCAAAATGGCGAAATTAGACAAAACTATATTAGTTTGCCTGATTATTTTTTGTCATTCGTTTAACATTTATGACCTAAAAAAAAGTAAAATATGAAATTTTAAGTTTAGCTACTTACATCTTATCTCGCACTTGACCGTACGCGTCGAGTCGCACTGTTAAAATTGGCGCTCAGCAGCGTCTGTGAACATAAAGCCCGCCTACTTTGATTTGATTGGTCATCTCAAATATTCTGACATTGACGAGCAGTGACAGACCAATGAGGCTCAGATGAACACACACACCCTGTCCTCTGTTTCTGACGTGCTCTCTGCTCGGCGCCGCTGCGGATTGAAGATGAAGAACGCACTGAATCGGATTATAACAAGACTGAAGCGAACACGAATTTGTGTAGCCTACATTAATCTCACATTTTTAGGGGGGCTAGGCAGAAGTTTAGGGCGGCTGAAGCCCCCCTAAAAAGGGCCTAGCGACGCCTCTGGTAAAAACTATGAATTACCATATCATTTACGATAAGAAGTCCCTGCGTTACACATCACATGATTACGGAAATTAAAACAAATGATCCAATGTTCAAAGTTATAGTTAGCTATTAAAAATACATTTGGCATGAAGACAAGTGTTTATGAAAAGTATCGTATGTGCAACTGAGTTGTAAACAAACATTTCAGTTTTTACTTGAGTGTATTATATTATATCTGAAAAAAGCAGATGAATATAATAGTTTGGGCTCCGTTTTCAATTTTAACCTCTAATATTATAGTAATATACCAAATGAGAGGATTCCTTGTATAGCATTAGTTGGGAGAATTTGTTTCTTCCTTAATCAAACTATCGGTATCAGTAGATATCATTCTGAGTAATTGACACTCGGTATCCTAGCGACAGAACTTTTGCATCAGCCCAAAACAAGTTAGTAGTGTTTCTACTTGTACTTATTACCAGTGGTGGAGGAAGTACTGAATCTCAGTACTTAAAGGAGCTGTATGTAAGATTGTGGCCAAAACTAGTTCTGCAATCACTTTAAATTACTGTAGAGTGGTGTATCCCCTCCCCCTCCTCCCTGACTCGAGGTTGCCAGATTGGCTGCAGGATCTAGCTGGAACGTGACGAGCTGCAGCTGTGGTAACTAGAGCAGAGCTGGCAACCCGGATGCCGCAACACTACTGACTTCGTGATTGGTAGATAGGTGGAGGGTGGAGCATCAGACCAAAACACAACATGACAACATCAACATCAGTTGAGGGCTGCAACTGCACTTTTTAAATGACAATATCCTGGCCAGACTACTGTTGTCAGTGATATAAGTATTTGAAATGTACATGATTTCTTAATGTCTAGTGACATTTCAGGGCCATTTTATGATTAATTGAAATAAATTTCTTACATACAGCTCCTTTAAGTAAAAGTATAAATAACCAGAGACATATTTACTTTAGTACAAGTAGAAGTACCACAATGACAACCCTAATTAAGTAAAAAGTACCTGATTTTAAATGTACTATAAGTATTAAAAGTACTTGCATAACAATTTATTCTCTTAATGTCTATATTCTAATGATTAATAAAACAGTTAATTGTAACTCATTCAACCTAATACTCATATAATGATGTTCAATATGATGGAAAAGCAGTTATATTTTAAGTTTTTGTCACCATTTCTGAACAAGCTTGCAATTAGGCAATATAGCCTACACATCAAGCTTACTATATACCCTTACTATATACGGTATATATATATATATATATATATATATATATATATATAAACACATATTATGTTAAAACGCCGTATATGAGGGCGTTTGCTGTAAACGCGATTCATTCATGGCGTAATTCTGAACCTCTTGGCTTGCCATACTAATCCTAACCAAACGTATAATACACACGCACCCCACATCACTACTAAACCTACCAATGCGTTTCCTATGCATGTAAAAACTAATTTCCGTGTATAAATTGCACGATAAACACACTGCGTGCTATAGAGACGCATTTAGTGACGGGGTTGATATATCTATGGCAACCAAACTTCACTGGTGAGACAGAAACGTGCGATGAACAGACGGTCAGGATGACGTTTTGGCAGGGGAAAAACTGATCAGAAAATTTTACGAAAATGTAACAGAACGTTGTAGAAATGTAGTGGAGTAGAAAGTATAATAATTGCTGCAAAATGTAACGAAGTAAAAGTAAAAAGTATGCACTATTTATTCTACTTAAGTAAAGTACAGATACGTGAAAAATTTACTTAAGTAAAGTAACGAAGTATTTGTACTTCGTTACATTCCACCACTGCTTATTACAACCCTACAGCACAGCAAACACAAGTGAATCCAGCCGATACCTGTAGGCCGTCGTGTTGTATATTCGACAGGCTCCTCTTCCGCCACATTTCTTGTGACCCCATTTCAGACAGGTGGTGTCTATGATGGCTCCGAAGTATATAGGAGCTGGAATTCCAGCTGCAGAAGGAAAAACATTCAATACGATATACTATTTGCATCATTCTTGCTTCAAAACATATCATCATTGCCACTCTGACTACAAAATGATTCAGCAGAAACGTCAATGTCAGCAGCACCAAACACCAAAGCGTCTCTCACCTAGAGTACGTGTTGTCAGCGTGTGAAAACCCAAAGCTAAGGACTTCAGCTGAGGTCTGATGCATCTGTTGAGGAAACAAGAACGGCTAGATTAGACATATCGGTCTCACATGGTCTCATAAATAACAGCATTTGAAAATTATTCAGCTTGCAAGGTGATGTGTTGCAATGAATTTTACAAGTTTTATCCATTTTTATTCCTGCACAGAAGTGGCAGAAATTGTATATACAATTACAAAACAAATATTTTTTTCTTTAAAATAACATTCATTGAGGAGTTGAATGATTAGGCCAGTAACATTTATTATAAAAAGTAACGTGTTAATAAAATAAAAGTAGGGTTGATTTTGTTTTTGTATGAACCCTAACATTTATGACAGTAGTGAATGTTGAACAAAAGAGTACATAATGATTTCTATTGAATTGAGCCATTAGACAACTGCAATATGTGCATTACTTTATGCTTGCTAACCCTTTGAAATAACATGCACTGATGCATTGTGCATAAAGACTAGGGATGCAACGGTACACGGTAAAATCCCGGACCGTTCGGTCAGCCCTGCACGGGACAATCTACCCTCGTGTGTCCCGCGGGACTTCGGTTTTGCCATTGAGTTCGCGCTGATCCTTTTAGTGCCTTGTTTATACCTGTCTATGGTTTATACTCGACGCGTCCGCAGACTCCGCAGACTCATTCTGTGAAACGACAGGGGGCGACCTGTCGAGGAGTAATTATCCTCTAAACCACCAGGAATCAGCAGTGAAGAAGTAGTTTGCCGTTTATTAGTAGTTTATTAATTGCTGATTCATAAAAGAGTAATAAATGCAGTAGGTTTATTGTAGCCTACTTTCACTGCATGTAAACTAGTTAAACAATTGAAGCCTGAGTGTTTAAACCTTAATTTCATCAGCAGGGCTTACTTCTGTTATTGTAGGCTTATTTTGTAAATGTAACCAATTACTTTAGACAAGTGCAAACTGGGTGCTTAATGCAAATGTGTTCCTATTCACAAAATGAGAGGCTTTTATGGTCGCCCATCAATGCAAATGTCTCTGTGTATAGAAGGATCATAAACATGCTGGTACAGACGTACCAGTTCGGCCTGATTCGGCTCGAAGTCGTTCATCTTCACAGAAACACAGAAAGATAACCGGTGCATTGGGATTCCATACACATTGATGTTCTTCCTACTGTGACATTCTGTTTATGCTCATAAGAAAAATAAAACATATTTTTGGGATGAAATAGCAGTCTCTTTCTGCACAAAACATGTACCGAAACCGAACCGAGACCGTGGCCCAAAAACCGAGGTACGGACCGTACCGTGAGCTATCTGTACCGTTGCACCCCTAATAAAGACCAGGAACATTTATTATGAAAATAAATACAATGTAGGTTGAATTTATTTCATACAACTTTTATGACGGTAACATTGCTAAACAGAAGAGAACAGTATGGTTTCTACCTCACAACAGCAATATGCAGATTACTTTATCCAAAGTAATTACGTCTTCCCTTAAAAGCTACAGACGTGCAGGAATTTTTTATTTCCCCAAACTGCCGCTAACCTAATTTAGCCCGAGGGAGGCCGAGCATTCCAGCGGCGTCAGCTGACTGAGCTTTGGGGAAAAGCTGACAGTCCTCAGTGCTAGAGCTTTTCCTTTTAAGACACAAGTCTGATTACTGAACTTCACAAGTGACCATAAACTTGTCTCGACTGATTTTGCATTCAATCGAGCGACAGTTTTGACTGGGCAACAGCCCTCGACTAAGACGTGGAATAATGAGGGGGAAATCACATTAGCACTGCCGGCACAAGCAGTCGGTTTTCATCTGTAATCTGCTTGAACTGAGGAAAACTAACACATGACTGGACGACCTTTCTGTTTCCAGCAAATGTTCACTTTCACAAGATATGTGCAAAGCCGGGACAGCGCTTGGTGTGTGCACTTCGGATAAAAGCGTCTGCCAAATGAAAAAATATTCAAATAAAATCATAAAAAGGCCTAGCCTGGCTAACGTCAGACCACGTCTCATTGACATTGAGACGTGGTCTGGGAACCACATGTTCATTTTCTCGTATTTGAGGCGTGGTTTACGAACGCCCAGAGCCGTTTATTGGGTGCTACGAATGTCTATCAAATGCGCCTGTACGTAGCTCATAGCCAATTGTTTCAATTATACCAGATGACGTATGTAGAGCGACAGAAATTAGACGAGGAAGAAGACGATGGGTCCGAGATTTATTTGCGTTCTAAACTACTTAGAACAATATCTAAGGCTGCATCGAAAGGTAACTTCGCGTCTGCTGCCATGTTGGATCCATAGGTATAAACAAACTGCTTCGGTGTGTCGCATAGACGTCCTCATCGTCTTGCTGCTCTCTCCCCGTTCTGTGATTGGTCCCCTCGCTGAGGTGAAAATCTGGTCCATGGTATCCAGACTGCCTAGCAGCGTGAATAAAATGGCGCTGCGCAAAGGCAGTATGGGGAAACCCAGGCTAACAAAGGCCATGAATGAGAACTGGGGTGTTAATATGAGGTTTATTTCCATCGAGCTGTAAATCATGGTCAGATATTCACCTGATGAGCAGCATGTATCCCGGCGTTCCGCCCAGTGAGATGATAAAGGAAGTGATGACAGACAGAGCCAGGAAGTAGGGGAAGACTTGATTGCAGCTCTCCCTGTTGTTGCATTGGCCCACGCTGGCCGTTTGATTCCTGACTGCTACACAACTGCACTCCTCGAACACCTGAAACACAAACCACACCTTATCAATTCGCCTTTGGCTAAGCCACACCCTAGAATGTAGATTGACCAATCACAGCGCAGCCAAGAACGAGCTCCCACAGAGGTCCGACACTTTTTCACAGCGCTCCATTGACTTTAACACAGGCGTCTCATATTTTTGGTCTCGGCCGGCTATTACCGTCGTAGTTTTATAAAAAATATGGTTAAACGTTGTGTTTGGGGCATTTGTAACAGATACGCGTTTCCCAGAGAGGTTGGAGGGGGGTGTGCGTTTTTTTTTCCCTTCCCAAAACCGAAGTCAAATCCTGACAAGTGTCGTCTAGCACACGCTGCTAATAAATACAACGTTATACTCGCGTAGTCCGTTTGCTTTGTAATAACGATTATAGAAGTGAATAGAGACCTACCCAGCTTTGCATGAACAGTGTTGCTCCTTGTTATTGTTAGTCCCAGCCTCCGTCTCGATTAGTAGGATATGCTGTGATTCATTTTTTGACCGGTATGCTTTTGCCTCTATTTGGATGCCTTGTTGTTCCTTGCGTTTCACCTGTATGTCGTGAATATAGCCTTCGAACGTATATTGCAGCCCCTTTTTATTTGCTGCTTTATAAAAGTTTGATACAATTTCAGCAGGAAGACCTGTCACAGCATAAGCCATGTTGATACCAGAGCCCACATAGATATCATATAATAAAGGCTAGATGTCTCGTCCGAGCTGCTGGCCAATGGAGGTCGACATCCGCACGTGGCGGCCATCTTGTCACAGGCAGCTCGCTCACTCGTAACATTGTGTTTTAATGGTGCATGTACTTTTAAATAACCATAACTTGCTCAATTTTCTACCGATTTTCAAACGGGTTGGTTTGTTATAAACGTCAGAGATGTAGTTATGACACTGCATACATATCAATAATTATAACATATAAGTTCAAGCATTCAGAATTATAGCCATGTTAATAACATTTGTAAGAAACCAAACCATTTGTAAATCCGTCAAGATTTCAGCGAGATAAGAGGATCTGTGTTCATGCTGATCACTCATCTTACATCAGAGCCTGCCTGTGACAAGATGGCCGAACGGTGATGCCGGAAGTGACTCCGCCGTAAGACATCTAGCCTTTATTATATGATATCTATGAGAGCCCAGATGAAGTTTGTTTGTCGGACGTAGCAACAGTAACTAAGGGGGGCGGGGCTTAGCCAAAGGCGAATTGCTATGCGGAGAAAAGAATTGCGGAGAAGATGCTTATATTATATACACTTTTTTAACATTTACATTTCCCCTAAATAATTGATGCAAATTGTTAAAAGCTTAACAGCATCTAAAAATATTGATGCATTTTCCATATGCATAATAAATGCTTCAGTCATGCTTTAGTTTAGTCTGTTTGGCAACAGTCTGAAAGGAGAGGACAAAGACACTGCATATACCAGATGCTTGAGATATGAATTGGACACAGGATGGGAGGAAGGAAAAGCTGTATCCCAGCCTTTTAGATGCAATGAAACTTCACAATATTTAGACAGAACCAACCAGGTTTGGGGAAGGAAGTTTCAGAGAAGGTCCGAAAATTCAATATAGCCTGTGAGCTGAAGACAAACAGGTTGTGCACACCCTTCAGAGAGCGCTGGGAACACCAGAGTTCAAGGCATAGGGAACACAACACATTGTCGCTCACATTCTTTGAAGAGATGGGACAACAAACAGGCGCTATTGTTCCGAATCACGCTCTCGGTTCAGTCGCCGCGCTTACCGTGTCTTTTCCAGAGCCGTGGGACGTCCGGCATCCAGCCAGGCAGGGGGAGACGTAGGTGAGCCCGTTGTCGCCGCACACGGGGTCCCAGTTTGCTTCAGGACACTGACAGCCCGCGTTGCAGGTCGCTAGCAGAGAACTGTCCACTTTGTAAAGACTTTCCGTCCTGTATTCAAAGGACAAGGAGCAGTTCTTAGATCATTTTGCTAATTAATACACTACCAGTGAAAAGTTTGGATTCATTATGATTTTTTGTTTTTTTTTCATGTTTTTGAAAGAAGCTCAATAAGGCAAAAATACAGTGAACATACAGTAAACATTTATTCCTGTGATGGATTTTCATCAGAAAAACTTTTTCTATGAAAACTGTTTTCTACATTGATAATGATCAGAAATGTTTTTTGAGCAGCAAATTAGCATATTAGAATGATTTCTGAAGGATCATGTGACACTGACTGGAGTAATGATGCTGAAAATTCAGCTTTGATCATATGAATAAATGACATTTTACAATACATTAAAATAGAAAAGGTATTTTAATTGTAAAAAAAATGTACTGTGTTTTTCATCAAATAAATGCAGCTATGGTGAGCCTTTTTAACTTCTTTAAAAAACAAAAAAAAAATCGTAATTATTTCCAAATGTTTCATACTGGTCAGTAAAAAGATCAGTGCTGTTCTGTACTCCAGTAATACAATCGATTATTTTCACTTTTTCTGAAGATGAAAATTCCCTTTGATCAGGAGTCAAATCGAAGACGCACGTAAGAAAGTAACCAATTTTTTTTTTCTTCAAGACTAATCATAACTTTTTTTAAATCATTTACATGAAAACATAGACTAGAGTAATTTGAATCTGAAATGTAAGACTGATTAACCCTTGGCTAACTGCTAGTTGGTTTGGACTAGTACTAGTTCTTAACATAATGCTTGTGTGCAACTGGCCCCAGATCTGAACCCAAGTACAAACTGCAAGTTTCATCCTACCCATTGTACGACCTGGTGATGCCGGCCACGTTGGCATTCTCACATCCCATGGCGAAGAAGAAAAGAGACAGGAAATAACCCAGGAGAGACGTTCCCAGTGCAAACTTGGCTGCTCCCATGATGCTCAGCTTGAACTTCTTCATGATCACACCCCCCGAGAACATTCCCAAGGCTACAGCTGGGATGTTGATAACTCCTGAAAAAACAGACGGCATCAGGAAAACCTGGATCAAAGGACCAGTGTCAGATTTGAAACAAAGGCAAAGCCATGGAGTTTAGCTCAGCTCTTCTCAAACGCGGTTCTTCTTGTGGTTGAACGGGCCTATTTGTTTTCCCTCCCGTCTTTCTAAACGCTAATGCCATTTCCCCAAATGCACAACAGTCTCCAGTGTCTGCATACGTTGTGCGCTGATATTATTTTTGGATTTCATTCTCTTTCATATGCAGTAATGGTCCATGTCATACTGTGATTTAACCGAGCTATATAAACCTCTAGATTTGATATCAGAACCAAAGACTAATATTTAACACACATTAATAAAATCCAATCCCAAAATCCAATCAAAACATAACATACCATTAAACTCTGAGGTCACAGCTGCACATATCTGTGCACAGATGCCTATAGAGGAAGACGGCGTACCCATTAAGAAGTTCGCCTTGGACGCTGACTGTCCGTAGTGTTGCTCGATGTATTTTGGTTTGTATGTCACCATGCCGATCAAAGAGTTGAACTGGATGATGGTGATGCAGAGATACAAAAAGTAGACCGGGTTCCCCAAAAGGGATCTCAGTGTTGGCAAAAAGTCTGAAAAACATCAAGTAGTCTTGTTTACTGAACAAATCATCAAAATGAAGCGACTTTGTGCTTAAAACAACAACACATATAATCTGCCAATGGGGTCATACAAATAAAACTGTGTTCCCTTTGAAGAATTACATTTATTTTTCTGACCCCATTGGCATATTTATTTTATTTTCAATAAATTTTTTTTGAAAATTGCCATATATTTTTGTCTTGTTTTAAGTGTAAACTTACTTTATTTTGTTATTTAAAAAACCTGAAGTACCTGAAGTAATTTTGTATTTCAAGTAAATGTATCTTGTTTGAGAATGTTTAGATATTTGAAACCATTAAAAAAATACTGAGTAAGAAAATAATTTCTTGCAGTGTGCTCCTTTAAAATAAATGCCACTTGGTTTGATATTTTGTTAATTAATTAATGCAATGGCATTACGTGGACTTGAAAGTCCAAAATGTTTGTTTTTTGTGCACCAGAGATCTGATATTTTAGATATTTACATTTTCTGTGAATTCTAGTTGGATCTAGATGGTTTACCTTTGGCCATTTCTAGGAAGTTTGCTGGCTCGTCTGCCTGGTACTTGTGCTCCAGGAGGGGCGAGTCTTTGATAAAGCTGGTCCGCTCTGGAGAATACTTGGCAAGCCGTCTCTCTGGCAGGGGTAAAGACTTGGGCAAGAACCAAAACGGCACGGCCGAGAGCAGGGTGATGAATCCTGCAATGAGGTATCCCAGCCACCAGGCACCTACCCAGCGTGCATCTCCTGGGGTGATGCTAATGCTGTCTGTGAGAAGACAGTCACACACACATATGTCAACACGGAGAACACAGACGCTACAAGGCTCACTGCAGCTTGTCACATGTTCAGAATATTTGGGCCAGGCAGACGCAGACTGTGATCCACAGACAGTCTTAGATGTCTCGCTCTCTCCTCGTCATGTACGCTCAGACAGCCTCCATGTTGTGCTTAAGCTGTGCCAGTAGACAGAAATGTTTACATGTCACATAAACAATGTGCATTGACAAAAAGGAATAGCTCAACCGAATTTTTGCTAATCACATTTTTTGCCACATTAAAGGAACACTCCGACTTTTTGGGACTTTAGCCTATTCACCTTATCCCCCAGAGTTAGATAAGTCCATACATACCTTTTTCATCTCCGTGCGTGCTGTAACTCTATCTGACGCACCCACCGCTAGCCTAGCTTAGCACAAAGACTGGATGTAAATGGTTGCAGCTAGCATACTAATCCCAATAAGTGACAAAATAGCGCAAACATTTTCCTATTTACATGTTGTGATTTGTATAGTCACAGAGTGTACAAAAAACAAAGTCACATGAGACAGACATATTTTAATCGTATAAATACTGGGAACTATATTCTCTGAAGGCGAAGCACTGCTACTTGGGCGGAGTGATAACCGCAGCACCTGAGACGCGCTCTCTGCTCCTCACCACGGCGCGTCTCAGGTGCTGCGGTTATCACTCCGCCCAAGTAGCAGTGCTTCGCCTTCAGAGAATATAGTTCCCAGTATTTATACGGTTAAAATATGTCTGTCTCATGTGACTTTGTTTTTTGTACACTCCGTGACTATACAAATCACAACATGTAAATAGAAAAATGTTTGCGTTATTTTGTCACTTATTTGGATTAGTATGCTAGCTGCAACCATTTACATCCAGTCTTTGTGCTAAGCTAGGCTAGCGGTGGGTGCGTCAGACAGAGTTACAGCACGCACGGAGATGAAAAAGGTATGTATGGACTTATCTAACTGGGGGATAAGGTGAATAGGCTAAAGTCCCAAAAAGTCGGAGTGTTCCTTTAAGCCTGCATTATTTTATTTCTTCTGTGAAACACAAAAATCAGATGTTAAGTAGAATTTTCAAACTACTCTTTTCCATTGTCAAGATCTTAAAAAAGACAAGAAATCAGCATAAAAGCACAATTAAAGTAGTCTACATGACTGCTGCGCTATATTCCAAGCCTTCTGAAGTCATGCTGTAGTCACCTTAAAGTCATCACGAAATCAAAATTGACAGTTCTTTATTTTTATATGGAATATTGCAGTATTTATTCTAAATGATTTATCCATGCACATCCTTATTTTTTTTTAACATTCACCTTCCCTCGTAATCTTTAAATCACAATAACTTCCCCTCTCTTCTCTGATGATGTGTTTACTTGTGCCCTACATTTATTCTTGTTGTTCGAGAAGCGTTTTACAAATATTAAAATATGTCAGCATATTAGAATGATTTCGTGTATATTCAGATACAAAACCGTTTTTACAAAATATATTTTACAATAATATCAAAATATTACGGTTTTTACGGCGTTTTCTTTTTTCCATCAAATAATTGCAGCCTTGGTGAGCATAAGAGACTTTTAATTATTCCGAACTTTTAGATGTAGGTGTAATTTATATGTACATAGAAAGACTAGATATTTATCTGCAATCATTAATATCAGTGAACATAGAACTTTCTATAGAAACAATACTCCTGCAATGATTTATGTGCATGATACAGATGTTTTCTGTGCTCTGTTTTATTGTCTCATTAAATAAAATTAATGGCAAAACAATGTTATAGTTTTTATTGGCTGAATATTTACTGTACAACATCTGCCATTATTCCTTAACATTTTATTTTCTTATGGCATAACTTTCCTGCCAAAGGTCTTGACTTTAGGGTGTAACGTACCGCTATATTATCTATGAATAAATGGCCTGTATAACCAGCATGCATTATTACATATGCATGGATAAACATTGCCAATGCCAAATTTTTTTTTGTTTGACACACTATGATTCTAACATTCAAACTACACACACAAATCTAATCTTATTGCATGTTTCATCTGATGTCCCCTTTAACCTCTCAGTCTCGTTGCATGGTACATCTCATCAAAAACAGCTGTTTGCTAAATCACAGCTTAACATTTATGACCCTTTACATCGTCCCCAGTCAAATAAAGAGTGTGTTTGAATGCCAAAAACGCACTCCGATCCAACATACACAGCCTCCACTGCTTTCAAACAAGAAACAACAAAGTTTCTTATTTCCTCCTGCTTTTGTTTGAAATATAATCAAAATAAGAATAATATGAATAAGCTGGATTTCCTCCAGATTTGAGGATAGAAAGAGTCAATTTCACAATGAATTACTAAAAAACAAATGAACCACTAGTCTAAGATGAGCCAAAACCAATGGAACTATACAGAATAAATGCATTTTATATTATACTTTTTTTCACTGTTTCTTTTCAAGACAATCTTGCCGATACATGCCAAGAGAGGTTCATGCCATTCAAGTCTAGTGCAGATGCAACTGAACCCAGTGACTCCTTTAGGAAACAGTGAATCACACTTTCACTTCACTCACCCATGTTGACAAATCCAATGTCCACGTATATCTTGGCACAGAGGGACCCCAGCAGGTAACCGAACACTGGACCGATGACCGATATTGTCTGGACACATCCTGATACAGATGATACATGAATTGATTAGTTGCGGATCTAGTCTCGACTGTTTACCAAGAAAGGCAATGCTCTCTGGGAAAAACAATTAATACCAGGAAGCCGTTAAAGGGCAAAACGGTCTCAGTCACATTTATGACTGAATTTCACAGTACACATTGTTTCAAAGCAGCTTTACAGAAAATTATGATGTTAATGTTTATAATATCTTGCATGCATTTAGCAGATTAGAGCTGAACAATAATATAGATACATTTGCAACAAGCAATCATGCAATTGAGATTTGCTATATAGTACATATTGCTTTAAACATATGCGGATAAAGCTGGACATTTTATCATGACAACTCTGACGATTTTTAGCATGGTAATGGATATGACTATGTTAATGTATTTAGTCTTGGCTGAATAGATATGCTACGCTGCTGCTGCTGATAAATGCTGTTATTGTAAGTACAGTTACTTCCTACTGCTTATACACGGGTTTCCTGTTTACAAACATTACAGGGTGCGTGCGCATACCAGAGGCAGAAAGCCAGATTGGTGACTGCAACAACCTTAAGTATTGAAGCTTTCCTTATTGTTTCTATATAACTGCTGACTCAATAAAACATGATTTTAGTTGGATCTGTTTGCCTGTCTTTGATTTTGCAGTGTTACTGGTATGAATTATCATGTTAGGCTAGTAATGTAATAGCCAATGTTAGCAGTGCAGCATCTACTGAACAGCCCGAATTTGCTTTTATATAAGTTACGTTACGCTTGTTTTGACCTACAGACACCACCACTATGCTACTAGCCTACTACACGAAACACGTCTTTTTTCTGCTTCCCGGTTGCGTGCGCAAGCAGTGATGACGTTGCAGAGAAATCCATGTATACAAACAAACACTGAAACGCTGCTGTGAGAATGTAAGACTGCTGCTGCACAAATAGCATATAAAATAACCCGCATCAGATCTATACAGGTGGAGCTGGGGAAGAGGGAGGCTTTCAGAGGAAGCACGCTGCAAACTGCTATAGTAAACGCTAACCAGCTATTTAAATATTGAGCAGCAATCTCATTGGCTGCAGATGTGACAGGAACCAATCAGCTTGTGCCATGTAGTTAACAGTGTAAATGTCATCAGGTTGCATTAAACTGCGCCATCTAGAGTTTCATGACAGAACCTGCTATACATATCCAACTTCATATAAAGAGTGTGACGATAATATAGTTAAAGTTTGCAACAAAATAATAATAAAAATCAAGCAGTTGAGATTTGCGTGAGTATAATGCATGTATGCGGGTAAAACTGGATATAATATCCAACTTTATATATAGAGCTGTGCGATAATACAGTTTACATTTTGCTATGATATAAACAACCATGCAACTGAGATTTGATATTGTATATATCTGTGTGTATGCAGGTAAAATAGCATGTGCTATACTTCCCTAATATGCATTCATTTTTTTGACAATATAACAAAGTTGAGATTTACTATATTGTACATGCCCCTTAATGTCAGTGTACTGTATTCAGGTAGGTTTGGAAATACTTTTAGTAGTTGCATGATTTTTTTTAATTATTCATTTGAAGTATTGTGTTAAACAATGAACCATCAAATAACATGGACATATTATATCTGTCCAGCGAAGGTTACTCTACTTAATGTCCCTCATGCTAAAGAGCAGGATTAAACTGTACAAACAAAAATGAAGATGTACCGATGTAGAAGGCTGCATTTTCCTCCAGAGCGTGATCATCGATGTATGAGATTCCCAGAGGTTGCACTGGGGTCTCGCCAATTCCACGCAAGATATTCCCCAGGAAAACGTAGATCCACATGGACAACCTGGACTCGTGTTCGCAACCTGAGAAAGGGGAGAGGGTGAGAAGGCTTCTTCAAATGGTGAGAGGCATTTCGAGGAATTGACACATGACAAAGATACCGAATGAAATGAGACAGGATAAAAAAGAAATGATAGATTATTATTATTATTAGAGAAGCATACACAAATAAGACTGTATGAAACCATATGAGGCTGTAGACTACAGTGATAGCAGCATATGTTAGTCCCTAACCGGTATCTCATCTGGTTTAACCAGCAAGACTCCCATTTTCCAATCTAACCGAAGCAGTAAGTGTTAATGTACCTGCGCTCGGTACTGAAGAAGTGCTTGGACCTGTGGACAGAACGCTAGCAGACCTCATTGGACATGGGGAGAGGATACTGGTTGAGTTCACTGACGATCGAATCGATGTTTCAAACTTGTAGCTGCATATAAAACATCAACAATTCAGTAACAGAAATCAGAGACCATGTCACCTGATAATAAGCATTTTGGGTAGCATAAGCTGAACACTGCAGTGTATCACAACTTACACCTGAACAAACAGTGAAGCAAATGCACAGGTGAACGAAATAGATTTTAAATAGGCCGTTGCCGTAAAAATGGGATGCAATATAGGATGTGTCATTTCTGGAAATTATGCACATCAAAAACATGACCTACATACAAAACATTAACATTTAAAACAGCATTTCAATTAATCACGGAAATTGCACTCGAGTCACTTTAACAAGGCGATGTTTTTGAAGAGCCGCATGTAAAACTCAAACACTGGCACACACTCAAAGTTGACAATGCATGTCGATTTACAAGTATAAAGCCAAATATGAATGAATAGAGTGTGGTCATAGAAAATTCTGATAGATCAACTAAAAATGTTTCCTTTTAAGCAGCGGCTTTACGATGCCAAGAAAGACATCTGATAAAGTAACAGCATACAGCGACAAACACATATACTGAAAACGACTCAATGGCATTTGTGGTCAGGGACTTTAACAAGATCAAACTGGATCCATGTGACCCTTCACAACAGCTCCCTCTGTTAACAGCGGAACGGCTTGAGTCGAGGCTGACGTGACATCACACATTTTACTTACCGTCCGATTATAAAATGGGGCAAGGCAATTAGAAAAGTCCCTAGTGACATCAACAGGCAGCCGATGGCGATTATCTTCGGACGGTGAAGTTTGGCACCAAAGTAGCTCACAAAGGCGATCACTAACAAGTTACCTAGGAGCGGAAAGATGAGAAGAACTGTTCAGACATACATTTATGAGGAGGAAAATTGCGATTGAGTTTAACAGGCTCCATTAATTGGATTGTTTCTTCGAAAATCCCAAAAATCAGCTAAAAAAGCATGAACTAAAGTAAGCAACTAACCTCAATGCAAGCGTGTGAGGAGGATTGGGTCACTTTGAGGATGGCACTCTTCAGGTTTATGTTATTGTTCAGGGGGTTTTAAACTAATGTTTAGCTTTAATCCATGACTGAAGCATGTATGCCCTTTATAATAAAGCTCAGGAAAATCGACTAGCCATAGACTGATTATTTGGTCATTTTGAGATCACTTAATAGCTGTGCTCAATTAACAGAGGAGCTGATCGCACTTATTGTTTCATAATCTACTAATGGAAAAAATATGGATATAATGGAAGTAATAAGTACACAAAATTGTTTGTATTTTACAAAGTCACTCAATGTTCACTCAAAAAGTGCTATTTTACAGCTTTCTAATTTTGTTTGCATGCATCCAAGGTCAAAAAACACTTAATTTTCTCAAGGAAGTCTCATTTCAGAAAAGTAACTATTATAAATTTAATATGCATTATTTTCCGTTTCCGAAAGATTTTGTGGATATTGAGTAAACACTGTAAAATAAGAGCAATTTTATGTGCATATCATTTGATTCTGTCCATCAGGCAATAAAAACCCAATATTGGTCAACCACTGACATTCACCCATGAATGGAAGTATCCGCTTCACAAACTCTCTGAACATGGTGCTTCCCAACTGATTTCTACATGATTGACCTCTTTGTCTGTGAGGAACATTTATTGGCAGAATTATTTGGTTTCGGAGATTCACGGCTCCATGAACGAAGGTCTTTGTGAGGACGATTATAGCACAGCTCTGTACCCAGCATGGACATTTAATGGGGACAGGGATTCTCAGACGTTTAGACCACGGCTCAGTTTATAAGCAGGTCAGTCTAACCAAAGAGAAACAACTCACCCAAACATTTACAAAACACACACAGCAGCCTTTGTTTCCGCGGGTTTCCCGAGCACTTGTTGATAACAGGGACGGAAGACAGCCGAGGGAGAGTGTTGCAAACTCTGACACATGATCCCTTGCTTTGGCTGTGCTCCTCATCCCGTTGCCATGGCAACGCTCCTGTGGAAACACTGGTTTCTAGGGCCACGCGAGCGGCGGATGCAGCAGTGTGAGCTGGGTTTAGCCTCGCTTTCACTACTCTAGACTACGATTTTGCATGTGCAAAGACGAAGAAAAGTGCTGAATCACATACTCTGATTAAAACTAGCTCTGTATGGCATTCCTAGACAATAAAACAATCAATTTTTATTTTATTTTGATCTGCTTACCTGCAAAGGTAGACGCATTAAGCTATGGGATTACACATTTAACCATAAATGATTAAATATAATGCATTCATATTTATTTTTATTTTGTTTACATTTTCATTTGCATTGTATCGCAATGGAAATATTAGAAATAAAATGTACACATTTTAAATAGTAAACTTTAAACTGCAACAGATTTGCGTTGAAGACGTGCAGCACTGGAGCTGTGACCTGTTAAAACATGTTTGCAGTTGCATAACTGTCTGATCTGTCGGACCACTGCACTGCACAGAGGACGACAGCTGTAAATTGCAGCACACATGGTGCGTCTCTGTGTTATTTTGCACTGAAGAGCGGTGCACAGACTCTGTGAAAGGCTAGATGAGAGCCTTGGCAACTGGTTCGCGGAGGTGACGGGATCGAAACGTAGCTGACGCATGAAGATCCGGTTCTTACCCATTTCAAAGCTGCCATCAATGACACCTATTAAGTAACTGGGGATGTCGAAGCGTCTTTCCAGCTGAGTTATTGTGCTTTTCATATAGCTCCCGGATAATGCCTTGGCAAAGTAGGCAAAGGACAAGGCCACGAGGAACATCTGTAATGAGACAGAGACAGAAAGACAGTCAGATGCTGCATGCAGAACTCACACTCTCCCTCATTAACCTATTTTTTGACAACTCTTCATTAATATGCATTCAAAATCGTAGAGGATGAGAGAACTGGGGTGGGAGTAGAGATGGTGAGATGGAGAGAAGGGGGATGCATTTCTCGAGCTGCAGTGCATTATGGGTAGTGGGACAAAAAGCGGATTAGGAGAGCTTATATCACGCTCTTGAGCGATGCTACTGCATTCAACAGCAGTGACTTAAGCCTCCACGAGCAAAACAACAGGAAAAATGAGTCGCTGCTCCTCATGACTGTTGCTGGGGTTTCTGGGCCAAAATCATCAGCATTCGCAGAGGTTTCGCCTCGGCACAGCGGTGCATCTTCACTCTTGTGGGGTTTCCCGCACGCATGCACACTCCCTGCATCCAAAATTAATAATCAACGGAAAGGTGGAGAAGTGAAGGGTGAAGAAGCAGAAAGAGAAGGGAACAGAGGAGACGAGAAGCCTTTGACGATCAAATCGTCAGCTATACAGTCGTCTTTCAACACGCACTTGACTTTTATGTGTAAAAAGGCTTTTTGAAGCTCATCAGAATGAAACAATCTTCATATGGCTGCCCTTGACTACATTAAAGTCAGTTTTCTGTAAGATTTTAGGGTTATCACTATAAAATAATAATAAATAATACGATTAAATAATAAACATTTGTATTTTATCTATTATATTTATATAATTTCTTTTTAAAATTAATACTTCAAAAATGCATAAAAAAATTATCAAGTGACAGTAAAGGCATGTTTTTAAATGTTACTAAAGATTTCTATCTCAAATAAATCCTCTTGATTTTTTTTAAAAAGTGTTTTCCACATTAATAATAATCAGAAATGTTTTTTGAGCAGCAAATTAGCACATTAGAATGATCTCTGAAGGATCATGTGACACTGAAGACCGGAGTAATGATGCTGAAAATTCAGATTTGATCACAGGAATAAATTACACTTTACTATATACACTCACCGGCCACTTTATTAGGTACCCCATGCTAGTAACGGGTTGGACCCCCTTTTGCCTTCAGAACTGCCTCAATTCTTCGTGGCATAGATTCAACAAGGTGCTGGAAGCATTCCTCAGGGAGTTTGGTCCATATTGACATGATGGCATCACACAGTTGCCGCAGATTTGTCGGCTGCACATCCATGATGCGAATCTCCCGTTCCACCACATCCCAAAGATGCTCTATTGGGTTGAGATCTGGTGACTGTGGAGGCCATTTTAGTACAGTGAACTCATTGTCATGTTCAAGAAACCAATTTGAAATGATTAGAGCTTTGTGACATGGTGGAAGTAGCCATCAGAGGATGGGTACATGGTGGCCATAAAGGGATGGACATGGTCAGAAACAATGCTCAGGTAGGCCGTGGCATTTAAACGATGCCCAATTGGCACTAAGGGGCCTAAAGTGGGCCAGGAAAACATCCCCCACACCATTACACCACCACCACCAGCCTGCACAGTGGTAACAAGGCATGATGGTTCCATGTTCTCATTCTGTTTACGCCAAATTCTGACTCTAACATCTGAATGTCTCAACAGAAATCGAGACTCATCAGACCAGGCAACATTTTTCCAGTCTTCAACTGTTCAATTTTGGTGAGCTCTTGCAAATTGTAGCCTCTTTTTCCTATTTGTAGTGGAGATGAGTGGTACCCGGTGGAGTCTTCTGCTGTTGTAGCCCATCCGCCTCAAGGTTGTGCGTGTTGTGGCTTCACAAATGCTTTGCTGCATACCTCGGTTGTAACGAGTGGTTATTTCAGTCACTGTTGCCCTTCTATCAGCTCGAACCAGTCTGGCCATTCTCCTCTGACCTCTGGCATCAACAAGGCATTTCCGCCCACAGAACTGCCGCTCACTGGATGTTTTTTCTTTTTCGGACCATTCTCTGTAAACCCTAGAGATGGTTGTGCGTGAAAATCCCAGTAGATTAGCAGTTTCTGAAATACTCAGACCAGCCCTTCTGGCACCAACAATCATGCCACGTTCAAAGTCACTCAAATCACCTTTCTTCCTTATACTGATGCTCGGTTTGAACTGCAGGAGATTGTCTTGACCATGTCTACATGCCTAAATGCACTGAGTTGCCGCCATGTGATTGGCTGCTTAGAAATTAAGTGTTAACGAGCAGTTGGACAGGTGTACCTAATAAAGTGGCCGGTGAGTGTATATATATATTCACATAGAAAACAACTGTTTTAAATTGTAATAATATTTCACAATATTACAGTTTCTTTTTTTTTTGTATTTTTAATCATACAGTAGAAAACAGCTATTTTAAACTGTAATATTATTTCACTGTTTTAACTGTGTTTTTAAACAAATAAATGCAGGCTTCTTTCAAAAACATTACAAATCTTACCGGACCCAAACGTTTCCATCACCCGTAGATCCTCAATGCAAAAAAAACAAACACAGACCATCACAACTTCAATAAACTGACATGTCTGATTTAATGGATATCACTAAACCAGGAAGGAGACCAAAGGAAGCATTTGACGGTAATGTAACGGATCTAAAGATGTCTGTTCTAACATCTAAATCAATCAATCAATCAAACAATTAGTTGAGGATGTTCTCTGCATCGTTCTCTTAACCAAGTTATCGCAACTTTGTTCTGGGTCATGCAACTCTGCGTCACTGCTAGTCATAATATACTGTGTTCTTCGACTGGGACTCGAGCACTCACATTTCTGAAAGATTTATGGTTACTTTGAGCTACAGGGGATAGTGCAAACCATACTGGGATTTGGAAGACAGGCATCTAATGCCGAGTGAAGAAAGAGTAAATAGCATGAAAGAAAGAGAGGGAATGTGAGAAAGTGTGCCTGAAGCAGACTGGCTAATTCTGGCACGCCAAGCAAGTTCTCCGCTGATGAGACGCTCAGAATAGAAACAGCTGAAAGGTGACAATCACCTGTCCATCGGCGGTTTACAAACAACATGCACAGAACTTCAGCATAAATGACTGAACAAATGAATGCATGTGAGAGCAGACACCTCCACCAAACATTTCAAAGGTCCTATCATGAACGATGCATGCATGTGTCTGTCGCTGACTTCAAATCCTCATTAATTTACAGCTGCACTGTCAATACAGTGGCACGTCCCTCATCTCCTTGGAGCGCAACTTAGATCACATTACTCGTGGGCGCAGTAATCTGACCGCCAGCCAACAGCAACACGTGCTCGCGATGGCCTCTGGGCTAATTTTCAGCTTTTACAACAGTCCAGAGATTTCCTCACTCTAGAGCACATGGGTCCCTTCGTGCGCTTATGGATTTCCCAAGCATGCGCCGAGCGCCCGTCACGCACTGACGCAGTGTCTGTAGTTTACGCTCCATAGCTCTTTCACAGCAGTGAACTGAACGCCTCAGTACATTGACAGTAACATATAATAGCAGAAAATTCGACTTTATAGTTTCCCTTGCTTTTTGACCTGTGAAATTTTCCTTTATCGTTTCAGTCATCTGTGATTACTGGACATTCATTTTTACAAATGTTATTAAAATTTGTTAAAGATTTTTTTTAAGCATATTGCGTAGTTGAGCTTGGAGTTATTTGTTTTATTTGTGACGCAAAATTTGGCATGTTTCATTGCGTTTTGTCCGTCCCACATATTTACTATATTTAAATATTTTCCTCATATTTTGATGGTTTAAAGGTGCTCTATGTAACTTTTCTACTAAAATTATGTGTGTGAAGGGGTTGTAATCACACATTAAAATGATCCACTTGTCGAGTTTTGCTATTACCTCTGAAGGCCAGTGTTCCTATTTCTATGTGAAGTCTCCGGGTCGGATTTACCGCGAAATCCAACGGATGTGACGTGCATGCGCGCTCCCGAGCCTTACAGTCTATTGTAGACGGTCAGGGAGTTACGTCCGGTTAAAGGCGCACGTTTTTCGGCTTATATCTCAGTCAATCTTTGATCAATATTCCCAAGACTCTAATCGTTCGTAGTGCTGGACGGGGCCTTTCGAACGAGCCCACCCCGAGGTCCAACTCGCCCGGCTCCCCGAGTTATAGCCGTTCGAAATCGGGGGTCCCAGCGAACGGCGATCCGGTAGGGGGGATCCCCGAGGCCCGCCACTCTAGCGTTCGGGCAAGGGTTCCCCTGGGACCTCCTCCCCCGAATTTGAGCTCTCTGGGTCTTTGTGTTCCAGAGATACGAGCAATTTTCTTCTGAGATCGTGACGTCACCGGCGTCCGCAATTTTGCAGCGCGCCCGATGGTTTTCTGCTAATATCTCCGCGAAAACACCACCAAAAACTATGGAACTTATATGGTTCTTTTCAGCTCGACTAGATGGTCCCAACGAGCTCGGTGCTCGCCGAATCCGTCTAGTATTCGCCGAGATATTTGCGTAATAGACGGTATTGTCTATGAGTTCGAGCACGAGGGCTCTTGTAAAATTTGGTTGCAATCTGAAACATCACCACTAGAGGCCGCTAAAAGTTACATAGAGCACCTTTAATTGAACTTGTATTAAAAAACAAATATCCCCTCTGGCCACTACCAAGTATGTACTATATATATATATATATATATATATATCAATCAGGGTTATTATTAACATATATATTTTATTTTATTTCAAGTTGTGAAATTTATTATTTTTTCAATAAACTAAAACCAACTAAAAAAACAAAACTTAAAGATGAAGTATGTATTTTCTGCGCCACGAGTGGCACCTTGCAGACTTTGCAAACACCCCTTTCTCTCGTCGTGCCTCTCTCAACTCAAACATCACAAATACAGCTCTCAACAGGTAAAATAGCTACTTTCAATAAAAGGTCCAACATATTAGGAATTAGGGGTTGAACGACTTCGACTCGACTTTCATCACATAAAAAAATCTGATGTCGACTAGTCGCTGATGACGTCATTAATGAATAAATAAGCCTGAACCTCAAGCTATGACTCGAACACAAGTT